CAGGTGGCGGTGCCGCGGCTCCTGGCCCCGGCGCGGTGCCCCGGAGCGCGGCGCGGGCACGGCTGGGCTCGGGGCGCTCGGCAGGGGGGCTCGGGCCGGCGGGCAGCGCTCTGCCGGGCGCCCGTGGAGCGATGTGTGCGCTCCGTGTGTCGGTGAAGTCCCAGGAGCTACGTTTTTAGTTTGAGGTTTGCCTGGGTGTTTCACGGGAGTCTTTGATGTCCGCGTCTGCAGCTAAATAGTCACTTCGGGACTCGGTTGTTTGTATCGCCTGCCGCTCCCAGCAGGTGCAGGGTTCTGCTCCGGCCGATCTCCGGCATCGGTCCTTGCCGGCTTCTCTCTGCTCCATACCTTGTTGTAGTTATGGTTTAGGCGAAACCTGTAATTTTCGGTGGCAGTGACGTTGTCCATTCGGCAACGTCCCCAATGCCTGAACGAGAAATAACTTTAAGATCGTCTTCAAGACGTTTTCAAGTTCTGCCAAACTGGAGTTCATCCTTCAGGGATGCTGTGCCAAAACCTGTCAGTGGCAGGTGAGTGGCCGCAGTGTGATGGGGGAAGGGAGAGAGAATCCTTCCAAATGTGTTTCCCTGCTCCCTGTCTCGTTTGTGCAGAAGGTAAGAGAGATCTGGCAATCACAGGGTACACCTGGTCTTCAAATTAATGGTTCAGAAGTAGACTTCCTGTATGATTTTCTGCAAATTGCTTAGTTTCTTGTATCTTGTTTCTCTGTTTGTGAATTGAGAAATTAACACTTCCCTACTTACTAAATAAAATCGTTTTGTTTGGTATATCCCTCAAAAACAGAAGCTGGGATAGAAAATTGTGCCTTTGTTGTTCTGTTTTTGGGGGGACCTACATGTGGCCTGAAGAGTGTCTCAGCTGAATTTCGAAAAATGCCTTAGCAAATGCAGCAGTCCTTCAACTCTGCCATTTATTTTTAAATACTCAGCTTTTTTACACTGAGTGCTGTAATAGTTTTCCCTGTGCCTTAAGGGAAATGGACAGATTGTTCTGCTGGATGATGGGATAGACCTCAATCCATTTTTAAACTGGACTTTATGTTTTAATAGCTTGTGCCCTCTCTTACTAATTAGTCTGATAATTCAGTAATTTGTAGGACTTTTAGAACATCAAGCAGAACTTGGTTTTCTCAAAGCAAGTGTCTAGTAATGTCCTAATTCAGCATTCCTTATCAAAATATATTGATAGCTGTGGCCACAGAAAAGTTTGGTATAGTTTTAAGCTCAATTAATGAATTTTGGAAGTTTTTGTTTTCGCTTGGAGGACTCAGGAGTGCTAGGGTCATCTTTGAATGGGCTGTTCAGAGCAACTGAGATTATTCAAAGGAGGTGTTTGCTAATAAAAGCCAAATTAGAAAATGCCCTGCCAAGTCTTTGGACACTAGAAATTTTACACTTTTCTTCATGAGTTTATTTATTTTAGCTTAGTGCTTGCCTGGGTTGAACCACAGGTCTCTATGGGCTAAACTCATGGTTTGTTTTTTTCCCCCCTGCTAGAACTGCTAGATATATGCTGAATCTTTCATGCATAAAGGACTACCTCTTCATGACCTGGTCATTGTCTTTGACAAACTGATGAAACCATAGGAAAATGGTAAGTTTCTTACTTTTTTTTTTTTTAATTTAGAAATTACAATATAGGGAATTGTTTAATACATTGAAGTGTATTAAAGTGTATCACAGGGACATTTGAACAGTTATTTGTACATTATGGTTGATTGTGGGATATGTTTTCTAGATTAATCCAGCAATCACCACGTGCACCGCATGTAAATATTTGAATTGACAGTCTTACCTCATACAGCCTTATGTCTTTGTAAATTATGTGCGTTGTTGAGTGCTCTGGAATTGTTTCCTCCTAATTATTGTTTCCTGAAATAAATCAGAGGGAATCAAAAGGGTTACCTGTTTGATTGGATTCCAGTCTATGCTTGAACCAAAAGAGCTCATTAGCTTTATGGGTCAAAAGGATAGTAAAGAGATTTGATTTTTTTTTTCAATGGTTCTAAATATCTTTTGTATTTACCTTCATTTGGCTCAATTTAAAGCTTCTTTTTCAAATTAATATTATAGCATTAGTCTTTTACTATTATTTTGCTATGTTGTAACCACTTAGCCATAGTAAATGCTGGAAATGGTTTCTAAGGGTGAAAATTGCAAAAGTACCTGGATCTTGATCTCAGTTTTTCAAACTCTTATGCTTATGCTTCATTTTAAGTACAAATTTGGCAGAATTTCTATCTTCCACAAAAAGAACCTGATGAGTATGTCGATGGAAATTTGCATGATGGTATTTTTTCCTTCTCCTAGTGGATACTTATCATTAGAGTCTCCTCTAAAGACTCAGAATACAGATTAAGTTTGAAAGGTTTACATGTTACCAAATACCACCTCTAATATGACTTTTAGAAAAAGCTTTCAATAGAAATGAAAGAAGCTCTTACAACAGAGCTGAAAGAATCACTTAAGCCTATTTGCTTCAGTAATGTGAAAATAAAATAATCTGCTACATGCTTGAGTTGACAGAAATGTCTCTGCTGACAAGCAGTATGCTACAGAATTCTTGTTTTCATTTATTTTATTAAGCATACTTGAATAATTTTGTTGTAATGCTTTGGTTGGTGACCAAGGAAAATAGTAGGTGTGGTAAGAGATTTTTTCAAAAGTGCTCCAAGCACTGCACATTCAGGAAAAAAGTCTCTAGGAAGAATTATTTTTTTTTTAATCTGTAAGAGAGTAGCCTCATTCTTTTGTCGTATATTCTAGCCATCGCTGTCCCCCGCCCCAAGCCCATATATGCACAAAGGAAATCTCCCAAGAACTGAAGTAGCATTTAATCCTATGCCACAATCTGGTTTGAGATCCAGTGAGTTTGCAGCCTGTGGGTTGTGTTCGACATCTTCCTTTGCAGTGAAAGTCTGCCTTTATAAGGAGGTCAGGCAATTTTGTATTTAAAGCTGTTACGGTCTATAAACCTTAACTTACTGCTTTCCTACATGTCCTCTGTTGACAATTAAAAATTGTTTGACATTTGGATGGGGGACAGTGGCTAGGGAGGGGGATGTTTTGCTGTTTGGCCAAGCTATTAGTAGCAAGGGAAATTAGAATCCAAGGTTCCTTGGACGCTCGCCTGCTCCATGTGACAATGTAGATTCCAGGCTAGCGCTGAAAACCTGATTAATAGGGAGTTGCTGTCCATTAAAAGACTGTTAGATCAATTGTGCAGATCACTGGAGAGTAACTGCCTAGGTACCAATTAAATGAAACTATAAAGTAAGTTCTCCTTTGAGATCGTTTCTGAGCTCTAGGTGTGATGTCATGTATGCTAGAATAAACTTATTTGAATAAAAAAGTTAAACCACTCCTATGCTATTTTTCTTATGTAATACCATGCTGTTTAATAGGGAAGCTTTTTCATACCAAGTGCAGATTGATTTTGCAGCCTTACAAACACTGCAGCAAAGTTTACAGCTGACAAAAGAACCATTCAAAACAAAAGTAAACATTTTTTAAATTATCTGATGCCTTGAATTCTGTCCCTGTTGATGCTAACAACAGTGTCCATGTTTTATTTCCCTTCTAATGAACACTAAGCAATATTTTTGGCATTTTCAGTGGAAAGGTGAAGGGTTTTGTAGTGTGAAGATGGTTGCGTAAGCTGTGTGTTATAAGGCATTTTGGCAGGGTTACAAATTTCTCACTCTGTACTTTGTCTGTGTGTACAGAGGATCTCAGTCCCTAGGGCTATCAATCTGGCATCTTTCATCAGCACTAAATTTACTGCAAATAATTTTTGTGTGCATGCAAAAAAAAAAAAAAGCGCTATTAAACCTTTGTGGGCAGGAGTGAAAACATTCAAATAGATGCTTTTTCTGTTTATTTCTCAGAATCTCTCTTCGTTGAATTCTGGTGAGCATATTCTGCTGACTTAAATTCACTCAGCATGTGTTCGTGTGTCTATCTCATCATAAGTCTTTATCCAGAAGGCTTTTGAAATGTTGCCTTGCTCGAGAACCTGTCGCACCAAAGATTTTTTTTCTTGTTTTTTTTCTTATTAATCTACTTACAGTATAACTGTGATGTCTGGCTAACTGATAAGGCAAGTCAAATGCTGTTAGTGCCAGAGATTCCTGTGGAGAAATTTTGCTGTGTTGTGTGCTTGCTTTTTAGGAACAGAGCTGCTTAGTGCGAGTGTGAAGTTTTTTCCACTGTTTTTCCATTATGCTGCTCCACCTGTCCCAAGTGAATTGCTAATGTGTGGCCTTAGAATGTGAGCTTCAGCATGGCTTCGCTCTGTCCATGCCAATGATTTTCTTGGGTTTTTTGTTTGGTACATTAATGCTACACTGGAGGGCAAGTTCAGATCAATTCAGAACAACTTTTAAAAAAGAAAGAATCTAAAACTAATCGTGGTATTCATTTTATCTTGGTAAAATGAGCATGTTAGGAAGATTTTTAAGTTCACTTGATGAATATGTTGAAATAATATGGAAATTCTTAATGTACATTTTGGAAGTTCTTTCTTAATGGCTATAACTTGGAATTTTGTGTGCTTTTAGCCTCTGAGTGAGGGCATGATGATCTTATCACTTCAGACCAACATTTCATCTGGACCTGGATCACAGTTGAGGTGTTGTTCATTCTGTTTTTACAGTTCTACAGTTGACCCAGTTTGGCAAAATAAACAAATTGGGGTGCATCTTGTCCTGAAATTACACGTTTGTCAGTTGTTCAGTAATATTTTGGCATTTTCACTGACTCATGTCATTATTTTATAAAGTGACATACACCGTGCAGAGATTACACATTTGAACCTAGGAAGATTTGATCTTGGCAAGAGTTGGCATATAAAATTACTCTTTATCCAGTGTTGTTTTGGGAGCTGCTTAGTTTCTTACCTGGATTTCTCTTTTTTCCTGGAAGACTGTTGAAGTCTACTGTGTTAATACTGAAATATAACCTCATTAACACAAGGAGAAATAATAGTCATTCAGTTTCTATTTGGGCTTTTAAACTTCCCCTGTCATGGAATCATTGAAAAAAATCTCACTTTGGATTTTCAGTCAAATTAGTTTTTACTACCTTACAGTACTGAGTTTTTGTTAATGTTTGTGATAGCGGCGATTTTGTAATGGAAAGATCTTTTTTAAATGGAAACTACTTAAAGTGACCTTGATAATAGTTTTTTGAAAGGCTGATCTGAAACAAATCAGATCTCTGTTTCCAGGCTCAGGTATTGCAAGCATTCAAATACCATAAGGAAAAACTGTATGCTGCAGAAAATCTCTCTAAGATCTATTAGTCAAAAGTATGTGTAAATTGTTAGAGACAGCTCATATAGCCAATATCTGTTTACACAATTAAAGCTGAAATGAATTTACCATAATAACTTCCTGTTGAAAGGGGGAGAGTTGAAACAGCACTCAAGGCTAAATTCACCACTGGGTTTAAGTAGTTGCAGCTTCATTAACTTCAGTCAAGTTACACCAGTGATTAATTTTTTTGGGGGGTTGTGATTTGCTTAGCATAGGTCTCTTACAGTTCATACATGATTAAGTTCTTGCTCATGCATTTAAGGGCCGAAAAAAGAAAGAAGAAAAAAGACCAGATTAAATGTATTGTACTTCCTTACAGTCCTTGTATGAAATATTTATTTCATAATCTCTCATTGTATTAATCTTTGCTACATCCCTGTGAAATGTATCAGTACTTTGTGGTTAAGAAGTGCAATACAGATGATGTAACAGTGTGACTGACTTCGTGGAGGATGTTCAGAGCAAAGAATGGATTTGATCTCATTCATTTGTATCTGACACTGAATAATGTAGAAACTAGACCATCCTTCCTTTTGGAAATACAAGGCGAACAGATGCAAGATTTTAGTAGAGCTGCTGAGTATTCTGATTTTCTAATGATGACAATTATTAAAGCTCTAACAATTAGCTCTATTCTTAATAAACCTTCTGGTTGGTCCTGCAGGCTTGATAACAGAGGGACTGCAAGTATGTAATACTTCTGGACAAGAATTGTTTCATAACTTTTATGGACAGCTTTCTGCTCTACTTGTGGTTTCTTCTGGCGTTGATATGATTTAGGACCTTACTGAATATTTTTTTAATACTAACTTTCTGTGTGTTGATGAGGGCTATAAAACTTGCTTGTCCCTCATCAATATAAAAACGTGTGGAATTCAGTCTTACTAGGAAATGTAATTCTCAGAAAGTCTTAAACGTTCTTCTTTCTTCAGTTGCGCAACTTTTAGATAATTTACTCATTCTTCTTTGGATTTCAAGGGATCTTTTCTGCTTTTTCATATATGTTGAAAATTGTTACCTGAGATCATGAGAGATTTTATATCGTATGTTTTTTAGCAACCTCTTATGAGAAGGTAGGATCCAACAGCTTTCTCAGGTTCTTGGAAAGTAAAGATTTGGATAAGAGTGAGTTAAGCTGGTTAATTCTCATAAATATAGTCTGTGGATTTGCAGGACTTTTTTTTTCTTTTTTTCCTGTAAGGAAAAGGTACCTATCCTAGAAAAGATGCATAAATTTGCCTAGTAGGAAGCTTTTAATTTGTGTCATGCTTTGTAATCAAACTTGTGCACATGTTCTGAAGTGTAACAAAAATCGGAGAGTTCTTCAATTAGAAGGAAAATTTAAAAATCAAAAAAGGCAAATTACTACTTTTCAGAAGACTTAAAAGGAGGTTCATGCATCCCAAGGCAAGACCAGTTGCTCATAGGTTATTCCTGAGCAACATTTGTCTAGACTGTTTATAAAAGAGCTGCAATGGTGAGAGTTCTCCATTCTCCTAAAGCAGTCTGGTTACTGCCTTTTCTACCATATATCTCTTGTTTTTGTTGCAGATAAGAAAAAAAAAATTGAACACATCGAATGGTTACTTTTTGTTCTTGTAACATTCAGTCAAATTTGTGCCAGTGAAGCTTGAAACCCAAAACTTTTCAGACACTTGGGGGACTCATCACTGTGTATTTTGAGTGCTGACAAAGAGGCTGTTTGTGTGAAATTTTTGAGAGAACTGTCATATGTTCTACTAAAACCTACTATTTGTTTCCAGACAAACTTCTTGTATTTGGCTACAAGACTGAAACATATTTTTTAAGTAATGTTAAATGTTGAATAGTAGATTATGCCTGGCAGTATGTTTATCATTGTTTATTAAAACTGTGAATAAGCAGTATGACTAGGAAGCTTAGAAGTTGAAAATAGCATGTGGAACTTCCTCTTTAAACCTCACTATTCCTGCTGTTTATAGATGTGAAGATCATTGTGCCTTTAAATGCCAGTGCCGCTTGAGAAATGTCACTTCAGTGTCAGAAAGTACAAAACCACTAAAGTGTTTACACTCAGACATTTTTGTAAATTCAGTGAAATTAGATAAAGCACCCTGGTATCTGGATACTTCTTGAAGGAAAACAGACTTAATGCATTTGAAAAAATAGACCTCAATCTGTGTATCTGACACAGAAGCAGAAAGCACGTAGAAAGATATTTTTACCCCTAGTACATTTTTTTCAAAGCCAAGCAGGGCAAACTCAACAGGCAGAAGGACATTAATGAGATTCTGTCATGGTGAGGCTGTCCAGTAAAAGGGCTGTACATTACTCTGCCTTTTGCAGTGATAAACTTCAGTGAGTCCATGCTATAAGGCAGCACAACAGCATGGGGTGTGTTTTTCTGCAGAGGTGTCAGGTTGGATAATGAAAGCATACATATTAATATCTTTATTTCCCTTCCTTTAGAAACAGCAGCATTCCAACTATTATGTTTCACATAAAACACAATGCAGAGCAGAATTCTGTTAGCTGGAATTGCTCTGGCTTTGTGAGATGATTACAGCAACATGAATTGCCTATCGCCTTTGTCTGCTGTCTGTTTCTTTCTGTAGCAAATTCTGTGGTGGTCAAGCACATCTTCAGCAGCTAGTACTTGTCTTGGTTGTGGTGAGGCAAGGGCACTCTGGTGATGATATTCCAGGCTTCTTTAGGTGTATCTTGGCTTCCACATTAGATGAAGAAGCAAACTGTTGTACAGAAGTTGCATTTGCACTTCTCTAAAGAACATGTGTGCTCTTTGTTTATTAGCTCCTGTAACAACATAGTAGAATTGTCCTTTTTCTTGCAAGCTAATGAACTCCTAATGCTATGTTATATGTAGTTTTTACATAGTGTCATGTAGATACTGGGTCATTTAGAGTTTCCCCCCATCACTGAATCTTCATTTTGGTATTAAATATAAATGTTCATAGAATGGGATCAATCTTTTTCCTTCTATGTGGATGTTAATGGGCAGTAAGAAGAATTCCCAGTATATGTTTTGATTGTGTATGGCCATGATAGTTTTCACATTGGTTTTTATTAATTTGTAGAAGATTATTTATCAATATGAAAAAAGATACATGACAAGAGAATATTTAAATGACAGTATCTTCACACCAGCTATCAGAATGATCAACAGATTTATTCTTAGAAATATATGGATTAGGTTTAGTTATTCTTTACATTTTAGTGTTTCTGCAGTTTTTCTCATTTTGTTCTAATGGTAGAAGCACCAACTCTGCAAACATAATGATTTATATGACTTGTTTCGTTTTCATGGAATCCGTTTTGTTTGTTTGTTTTGGTTTTTTTTCTCCAGGACTTGTAAAGCTGCTTGTATTTAAGTAAAAAAGTGAGGGGGGAGATACTAAAACCCTTGCAACAGTAAAGAAGACTAAATTCCTTTAATACTAGTTAGTGCCTATTTTTCATCTGTCCTTAAACCTGAGACTTGCTGGATTTCTTCTTTAAAATGATGGGGGTTCCATAACATCTCTAGACAGCCTGTTTGGTTGTTTACATAGCGACCTTTTTTAGACTGAATTGCTTTTGCCAGATGTGGTGCTGACCTTCCTTTCTAAAACTTTTCTCTTGCTGGGATCCAGGTTCTCTTGTGTGCATCTTGTTCTGTGTATATGGTGCACAAAAAACCCCCCATGATTGTAATTGATTAGTGCCTGGTAGAACATAATGAGTTCTCTTGTGTGTGTAACACTTGCTGTATTATATTTCAAGAGAAAAAGAAAGCTTGGACTCTTGGTCAGTTTTCTGTCTGATATCTCTTTGAGATGCTTTTCATCATAACAAAACTGACTGGTTAATCCCTATTTCACATAAATGTGCTTATTTATTCCAAAAGTTTGAGGATATTCTGTTTGTGTTAGTGAATTTCTTGTTATTCCTTTTGGAGCACTTACTACTACAATTAATTTTGAATTTAATTAAATCCTCAAAAATGCTTATAACTGCTTCTAACTGCAGACTATATACTGCTATTGTGGTTTATCATTGAAGTTAATGAAAATATTGCATAGAAGCAGCACTGAGAAACAATCTTAAATGCCCATTCATTTTGAATAGAGCAGTGTTGGTGATATACTGAGGAGGCTGACTTTCAAAGAATTAAAAGACTTAAGTCTCTTTAATTAACACAGAAAAATTAAATGGCATGAAAATGAGTGAGGGAAAATTGTGTCTTTGACAGAAGAGCTATATAAAGCCAATCAAATGGAATAAAAAACCAGTTTTATGTAAACTTTTCGAATGTTAGAAGGAGCAACATTATGGTCTGGATTGTTCTGTAAGATACATCCAAGATCAGTAAATGAAATACTACACTATATGTTCAGTAAACATTCACAGAGCCCACCAGCTGTTCAGGATAAAGGAGCCGAGTTAGCAGGAAAGTTTAAGAGGCCTGGTGGTGTTTCTGGTTTTGTTTAGTCTTTCTTCAAATTTTATCCATGCCAGGTCAGGAGTGATCCTGCTTCTTACTACCTTTTTTTTTTTTCCCCCAACAGCTGTATTTAAGGTTATCTTTCCATAGTAAGGATAGATGGAAAAAAGTGAGGAACTGAAAAAGTTGTCAAAATGGTATTAAGTTGTATGAAGTACATGAAAGGGAACACTGATGAGTATGGGCCTTTTAAAACTGAACTTGACCTAAAATACTTCTCTAATGTACATACTGTTTGTCCTAAAGCAAACAAAAATACCAGTAATTTCTTCAATACAGACTTTGTCTTCTAGCCACTTGGCAAATATTTTCCATTTTATTTTTTATTTGTGCTATGATCACCATGATTACATGTGCCAGTTGTATGAATCTGTGTGGCAACTGAAGCACTTTTATTCAGCAGTACCTTTTAACAAAGGTCAGCACGGTTCTACTCAGTGTTAGCTTTTATTTCAGTTTTGGGCAACCAGTGAAGGGAGAAAAGATGGGCCTATGAGGAAAAAACCATTTTTATTAACATGTTGTTTGTTTTTACAATTCATTTCAGTGAAATAAATTCAGTAAATACAGGAACCACATGTTAATGGTCTTTATAGTTTAAATCTTAAGAGATTTTAATTTCATTTTTGTTTATAAATAAGTGTTTCTACTTTTGTTTTTAGACAGAGCTAAAGTTAATTCTCACAGGATTTAGATTCACTTTGATACCTGCCTGGTGCCTTGGTAAACTCAAAAGGAATTACAAATAGTAGCACTGAAAATCAAGAAGGTAAAAAATTTCATCCGGGTGGGAGGGGAAGATCTAAAAGATCAAGGACAAGAGTGTTCTAAATTCCTTGAACTAGCTTTTTTGAGTTTTTTTTTCTCTAAGGAGTCCTAAGGGTTGTAGAAAAGAATAGATTTTCAGGGCTGCTTTTATTTGGAGGAATACTGAGTTTCAAGCAATAAACCAAGAAATGTTGTGGTTTCCAGCTTCTAAGTACAGAGGGACTATCATTCCAACCAAATGTTCAGAGGAAGTGAGTTAACATTTTCCATCAGAATGTTAGCTTCCTCTACAGCAAATATCACTTGTCAAAAGCATCTTTTCTCATTTTTCACAATCAAATAGGAAACACCTTGTTCAAATGCATTTGTATTTCTCTTTCCCTTTGCTGACTGTTAAAAGGATAAACTGTTTTCTACGGATAGAAGCAAGACAGTGCTGATTTTTTAATTATTGCTGTTAAAACGAATTCCTCATTGGGTTTGGGCAGTTTACTTCAACCTCTTTTGATGCATTATTTGATCTGTGAGCTGGGGAAAGCAGCAGTAGTTATTATTGCATGTGGCAGAAATACTAAAATGTGAACCTTTCAAATATAATATTGTGTTTGGGATTATTTTTTTTAGTGCTTTAGAACAGGTATCAATAAATCAACATGACTGTAGTATGGGTGTCTAATAATATCTAGTTCTGATTCTTTCTGCTCTGAATAAAGTTCTTTACTCATCTTAACCTGTAATTTTGTGTTTAATTCTCTTTGAGAGAAAATGGCTTGGTTAAGGAGCATCCTTCTGGTGGACACATGCATTTTCCAGATAAGTCCTCAGTATCTCCTCTAGAGTTACCTTTGTCTTTCTGGTGCTCAAGGAAAACCAGTTATTACCTAATGTGGCTGCCAAAGGAAAATGCAACTTTCATCTCTATGTACAATTCCTAATTCTTCTAGACTAGGACAGAATATTTCCGTCAGAAGGGACCCTACAGTTATCACCCTGTCCCGGGCAACTCAGGGCTGACCAAAAGTTAGTGTGCTACAAAGAGCCTTGTCCAAATGCCTCTTAGACACTGGGGCATTGACCCCCTCTCTAGGAAGCCTGTTCCTGTGTTTGACCACACCCTTAGTAAAGAAATGCTTCCTAATGTCCAGTCTAACCTTCCATGGCGCTGCTTCTGTGTTTTAGGGTAGGCAGTAATTTTTGTTAGACTGGTACGGCTGGAAGTGGTTAGCCAGTTCTTCAGGTTGGAAGCAGAGATGGAGTTGTCCTGGGTGGTGCTGGCTTTTGCTTTTGTACTGCCCAGCTGGTGGTGGCTTCTTGCCCTCTGTGCTTCTCTGGAGCTCCTCACCATGTATTTAACCAGGCCTGTGCTTTGTGTGCTTGTCTGTGAGCATGTTGTTGGAGACAGTGTCAAAGCCAGTCACAGTAAATTGCATCCATTATTCCCCCTTCTTCTGCTAAGCAAGGCAGTGTTTTGTGGAAGCACAACTTACCCGTCATAAATCCACTCTGACTGCACTTGATGACCACCTTATCCTTCAGATGTTTGAAAATACTTTCTGGGCTAATTTGCTCTAATATCTTCCAAGGATTGAGGTGAGGCAGAGCAGCCTGTAGCTCCCTAAATCCTTCTTGTGCCTAAGATAGCAGTGATGGTTTATTTTTCTTTTATTTTCTTTTTTTTTCCCCTCCGTCCTTTTAGCAACAATGAAGTTTATGAATTTGGGGAAAATCACTTTATTAATCTTTGTCAGAAATATGTGTATGAAGGAAACCCTACTTATTCTTTGGATTTTTTTTTCCATTTTTCTGCAACTTAATTTTTCTAGCAAGTAAAATGAAATATTATCTTGCAAATTTACCAAGTGCATGTTTCATTTACTCATCTTCTGTGTACTAAGAGTTAAGAAAGCCTGGTGAAAACAGGTATCCTAAAGTGTACTTTCCTTTACAGGAAAGCATAGGAAGCTGCTGTAGGAGGCTTACCTAAGCTCTTCTATAATACAAGAGTGCTTGCTGTTTCTTGGCTTCACTATTCAAAACGTGAGCTAGATCCAGTGAGATGTACATAATGGAGCTGTATTTGGGGTGTATGGTTGCTAATTAAACAGCAGTATTGCCATGCTTCTAAAGGCTAAAGGTAGGAACTGATACAACAATGGTCCTGGACATGTAGGTCTTCTGCTAAGTTACTCTTTTTTTGTGCCTGTGAATGTGTCTAATTGCAGCATTGATTGGAGCTGCACCTTCACAAAAAGGGAAAATTGACTCTTGCTGAGAGTAGGTGGGGGTTTTGGTTTTTTATCAACAAACCATCTGCTTCTGTGCATACTGAACACATGTTGAATGTTTCCTTGAAAATAATGTGACAATTGAGGCAATAAACAAGTTCTACTTCCATCTAATTCTGATAACACAGCTAATCTATCTGCAAGTTTGATCTGATACCATCACTGACAGAATTAAAAGTTGTTCTATTTTATTCCTCCCTGGTTTATTTTTATTTCAGGCTAACTATGATATTATGTGACAAGAATGCTTTTGTTTTAGCCAGGGATTTAAAGGCGGGGGAAGGGGGACGTGAGGTGGCTTCTGTTTATCTTCTTGTTTTTCTCATTACCTCAGCTGTAACAACAGGAGCACTGTTGTAAAGATCAGCTGTGCTTTTGCTCAGGTAACTACAACAATTATAATTGGATAAAAATATAACTTTATAGGGTTTTTTTGTATGTAAATATCCCCGTGCTAAGACTTTAAGTGGGTCAGTGAATGAAAGAAATTCTTCAGACTTTTAAGCTGTATCACTTGGCTAATGTGAGTCTTTATTGACTGGCACTGGCTGACATTATTTATCTGTTATACTGTACGTATTGTAAAGGCTTCATTCCATTTTATATTTTAGGTCTAAAAATATCTGGAGGGAGATTAAGTGTTTCAACAAGTAACGCTCTAATGGATGACAGAGACTTTCCACCAAATGATCTACAGATAGACTCAAAGGACAGTCTTCCTGCTAACTATAGAGTAGAAGGTTTGGCATCTCATCTGATTCCTTCAGCTGATGAAAATGAAAATCAACTTGACAGTGATGGGAATGAAGTTCTGACCAGTAGTAGCATTCTTATGGGACGACAGGATAAAGGTGAACAGGATAACATCAATAATAATGAGAATATGGACAGTGGAGAGTGGATCCCAAGCTGTACGGAAAGTGAGACTGAGAGAAGATCTGTAAGTGTCCATATGGACCCTCAGCTGGAGGAAAAGCCTGTTACAGAAAAACAGCCAGGTGGAAAAAGAAGTCCAAGAAGCAAAAGAAGCTCCAATAAAAAATCTAAAGGTACTTAATCTAAAATTTTTTGTTCTGTTTATTTCAGAAGTAACACTGTAGTTTAAATCTGTGAGCTAATAAGAGATATATTTTAGGTGTTGTTCTAATTATTTTTAGCATTTCACTAAAGGTTTGATGGGTTTTGGTTTGTTGTATTTTCTTTTTCTCAGAACTGCTACTAGTCTTCGGTCAGATTCAACTCTACATGTTTTCACCTTCTGTATTTTAAACAGTGGCTGTGTAGCAAATGTAACACACCAAGTAAACAGGAGTAGAGGGAGGTACACAGTGTCAGTATGGAAACTGGGCTGGCATCCAAACCAGAATGGACAGAAATTCTGGCATTACAGTTTTCCTCATTTGAACATCATGGTGGAGTACAACATTTTGGTGTCCTGCTCCTATGTCAACATTTGAAATCTCGTTATGTGTACCAAATAGCTTGGTTTTGCCCTGCTGTTGTAAAATTTACTTACATTTTTCAAAGCTTACCAGATAGGCCTAGGTTGTGTGTTTTGGGTAACAAACTGTTAAAAAATGTGTTCCCACCAATTTTTGATGTTACTTTTATTTAGGTACTTTGGATGTGAATTGGATAAGGAAAATGCAATGTTTATTGAATGTTCTTACTTGAAATCCTTCTTCCCTTTTTGAAGGAGTAGGATTTAGTATGGTTTTTGCCATACATCCTAAAGCTTATGTGTCATAGTGCTGTATATGTTAATTAAAATCAGTATGTTTCATGCACAGGTTTCTTTGAAAGAACAGCTGATTCATGTGTGCTTTTTTCCATGCATTTTAAACGAACTAATTTTAAAATACAATTTTCCTCCTAAATGGCAAGTCTTTTGTGACCTAATCAAAAAGCTGATTATTATTTAAGGGATTATAGGCCAGGTAAAGACAGGAAAAGAAGGATGCCTTGCATTCTATATCTTGTACAAATAGGCAAAATCTGAAAAGAAAAAATATATTTTCTAGTAGAGATAAGAGCATTCTGAATCTGTCATTACAGGGAGAATGATTTCTCAATAACTTTCTTCAGCACTTAATAAGTAGATATATTTCACCTGTAGATTTAAGTTTTAATAACAGAGTAAAATAATTAAAATGAGATAGGCAGAAGTGATTGAGAACCAGTCATCTGTATGACGGAAATAACAAAAAACAAGTTGATGAAAAGTTATACATACATGTTGACATAGGTATCTGAAGCACAATAAGAGGAAGAAAGGAAAAAACTCCCCTAAACGCTAGAAGTTGAACTTGGCTCTTATTTTTTCTCCATTAGTTCGTATTCCTGTTGAATGAACTCATGCAGAAATACTGCAAAATAATCTGTCCACAGTAGATTGAAGTTTTAAGACAAAAATTAGAATCCTGAAAATACAGAAAATTTCATGGAAAAACCTGGCAATGTAGAAAACCACACAAGAGAACATCCTGTCTGCAAAACTCTTTAGAGTTTTATTGAATTCTTATTAATAAACTCCTGTTACTTTATTAATAAAGAACCTTGATTGTTAGAGAGGAAGATCAAAAAATAAAATTACATTATATCTGCCATTGTTTATAGGCTAATATACATTTAGTAATTTTTTCAATACTCTCACTTGATGTTCATTCTGTTTTCACAGAATGCATTTGACTGTGTCACAATTTCTTGATGTTGCAAATGTAATTCTTTTAGTAGCAATCTTCCATTTTATTACCAGCACCAGCTGTTTTAAATGATTCCTGAATATCTCACTACACCCTCTACATAAAGGTCCAAACTAGCTTTCTTCTCCTTATACCAACTCAGAGTTAAAGGAGAGAAAAATTAAACTAGATGGGAAGATTCCTGAATGGGTGACAGTGGGAGCACCACACAAGCAAGCTGGAATATCAAACTAAATACTTACATGGCATGTATTGTTGTGATTTTTTTAAAAATATATTTTAAACTGCTGAGAAATCATGGATGAGTTACTTTGACTCATAACTTAGGAAGAGCTTTATGAATCTTCTTCTCTTTAAGCACACCTGTTATGATTGCAATTAATTGTTGTCATTCTAGAAAAGATGACATTTGACTTAAAAAGCATATTGTTCATATTCCTCTTCTTGCTAGTGACTAAAGTAATCTATGTAGGAAATTACATTTTAGTCATCTTTGTTTACTTGTGACTTGCTCAGCAGAATATTGGTGATCATTAGAGAAGCCAATCTTTCGCTCTCAACGTGTTTTTGCTTTAGAAGAAGGAACAAGTACTCGCACTTGCAATGTGTTTGAAGCCCTCTAAATAGTTGTTTGTGAAGAAAAAGCGGTTATAAGTTGGATTATTATCTGTATGTATATGCTTGGGATCTGTTGAAGCTGAAATTATCCTAGCTTCTCCTATCAGTGGACTGGAATGCAAGTTTAGCAGTCGCTGTACCTGGTTGAAGATCCTTCTGGTTCAATATTCTTCCCCAGACAGAGGCCAACAGAGCATTTGTCGGTGAGAGTACAAGGGCAAGGCAAACGTGTAGTGATTTGTTTGCATGTTCTGCTCTCCATCTGCAATCTCAGGATTTCCCCAAGTGGAAATTGATAGACTGTAATACTTTAGAGTAAATTTGTCACCTGACTTACAGTTGCTTTTTGCATCCATTTCAGTGTCCTGGAGTAAGAAGTTCCAGGATTTAATGTATTTATTGCTTGAAGGAGAACCTCCTTTGAGCCCTCTTGATTCTGTAGGAAATTGAGAGGGGATGGACAAGTCTGTAGCTCCTAGATCCCAATTTTTTCTCACATTCTTTTTGTATATTCACCATAGTTTTGAATGTACTATGATTATATCTGATTAGGGAGGACTGGTGACCACAGAATACATGTACATTTTAACTGAAGAATTTAAACTTTAGTCATTATTCATGATGTTATTCCTTGTAAAGAGTTGTACTAACTTTAGTGTGGTAGAGATAGTGACTCATCAAGTTTAATCTGTTTCATTATATTTTTGTAAATATGGTCTTCAGATTATTCATATTCTCTGAAAATAAATTAGTCTTTTTTCAAAAGGTCAGTCCTGGCATAACTTAATATTGTCAAATCATTATATGATCTCTTAACATAGTATAACATGGTATAACCTGCACTCAGTCTTTTTTCCCCAAGTTAAATTCTGCAACATATGCTTTTTCTGTGAATTATCCCACTTATTTCTTATAGCAGCTTGAAGGTGGAGGAAGGAGAAAAGTGTTTGGGATGGGATTGGTGTTGAAGGAAATAAAATATATGAGTATAAGATAGTCAAATTACATGAAAATTCAAGTAATGTTATTTAATTTAGGGTTGTGTACCAAACAAGATTTTGAGCTTTCTCAGTTGAAGTTGTATCTTTACCACCAAACTTTCATCTCAAAATCTCTTCTTTTAAAAATGAATAATTTTTAAATACTTGCTGGTCTTTTTTCTTTTTTCCTCAATAGTTCTTGAATGAATCAGTCTGAAACAGCTTTCTGTATTGGGTACCAAAGAATGTTTAAAAAAAGAAATTGCCATATGTTTTCTGTACTAGAAACTTCTGTTACTGGTGACTTTAGTGCTACTGAATATGAAAATTCAAATTAATATAAAAAACAGAAGGCAACATTCATAATTTTATGTTGATAGCAAATCACTCATACTTGCACCTTGGATTCATCCTCAGGTAGGTAACAAAGAGCATCTCAATTTCATATACTTGCAGTACTGAAAAAGAGAAAAACCTGAAACATACTGAAAAATGTGGGGTTTTATTAAGTGTGTCAAAATTTGATCTCTTTTAGGCAAACATGGGGCTGCTTCTGTGAGCTGTTGGGGAAATTGAGAGAAAGTTTGCTTCTCTCCATATCTTAGGAAACATTGGCACCAAACTGGGCATAGAAGGGGTCACTTGAAACATTTGTGAGTCTGGCAGAGCAAAAACTTGAGCCTGGCTCTTTGCCACGGACCTGCTGAGTGCTCTGGCCAGTGATGTCTTCTGTGTCTTTTTCACACATTTTCATAAAACCTTTGGTTCCATTCTGCCGTGGAGTAAATATCAGTGCTTTATAAAGTGAAAAAATTTAATCCTTCCTTATTAAAAAATCAGAAATATAATAAGATACCTGTATCTATCTGCTTTGGACAGTAAGATTGATTGATTGATTCCTGGAAAAAGTAGAGTGCTGTTTTCAAGAAACAGGGAAAAAATAAATAGGGAAAAAATAAATAGGGATCCTAGCCCATCACATCTTTATGGTGAAATAGCATTACAAAGTGTTACAATAAAAGTTCTTTGTTGTAGTGCTACTAGGGCACAAATATTGTCTTGTGTTGAAAATCAAACAAGTTAGAATTAACCCACATAACACTAACGCCTCCTTGTCAAAATCAGGTAAGAAATTTGAGGGTAGGATTTGATTCCGAGTGGCAGCTCAACCATATGTACAAATAATAATGCAGTTTATGAACTGTGTTAGCAACAGTATCATGAAGACATTAAAAGTAAGGTTTTTTTGTGGGAGTTGCTATTGAGCATGTCAATGTTCATGTTTTCACATGACAGGTGGTTATTAACTGCTTTAAAAAGTGCAGGTTGAAGTCACATTTGGATGCTTTGCTTGTTTTTCTGAGAGAAAAGGTTTGCCAGAGCATGAGGACCCTCTTTTCTGGTTTCATGATAATGTGCTAAACAGGAAGCTGTATTTTTAAAGACAGCCTTAATTCCATCTCTAGAAGTATTTCCTCGTTTGTATCTTGCATCCAGTTGTGTCTCTTGTTGCTTTTGGCCCACAGGAAACCCAAATAAATACCGGAAGAGATCAGAGATGTGCATTAATTTTGAAGAAGCAATGTTAAGTTACACCCATATTTTTTCTGGCAGTGAGCCCTGTGAAAATAGCCACCCACAGAGATGATTAGTAGTCCTAACTTGGATAGTTTACTAAATAAAGAATTTAAAATAATCAAAATGGTGAAGTGTTCCATGGACAAGCTAATATACCTTTCTTAGGTCCTAAATCTTAAACCTGAATTATCATTGTTGGGTTTCAGAGGCAATGAAAACAAAGGGGTCTGAAACCGAGTGCCCAAGCTGAGGACACAAATGTACTTGAAACAGTGCCCTCAGCTGTCCATCTTTCAAATGATAACATGATTTCAGCAAATGTTGATTGGGGAACATTACTCATTACAATTTGAGTTTATTAAAAGTTTATTGTGCGTATTTCTGTGGCCAAATTCTCCAAATTGTTTTAAACAATTGTGGGAATTTTTTTTAAGTTCAGTCCTACCCAAGTGTGTGAAATTCAATGTTTTATGGAGAAATAAAAAGGAGTTTATTAACTGTTGGAATCAGCTGTAGTTTTCTGGTTGCTGCTGTGACTGTGTTTTACAGGAAGCTGTCATTTATTGCTCTCTGATGATTGTGAGAGACTGATCCAGTCAGTATATGGGTAATTGATTTCTCCCACTGCTGCTGTCACTATACTTCTCTACACTTCTTTGTTAATCTCATTTAACATTTTCTCATAATTATCATATTCATGATCAAAATACACAAGTTTTGCATTTCTAACAATAAAATGTGGGATTTGCACCCAGAAAGTTTTGGGGGTTTTTTTGTAATATTCTTGTAGTGTTATGCTTTGCATTATTTTTCATATCTCCACCTGATTGCCTGACTTTTTTTTGACTTCTGTAAAACTGGGGACAGGCAACAGTGAACTGCCAGGAAATGCACCATGGAGAACCTAGTTTTCTGTCTAGCAAGAAGTTCTGGGATCTAATGACACACATCTAATCAATGACACACATCCTTGTGTCATTGTTACCAACATCGGTCAGCACTGCTGTCTCTTTCCCTGGACACTCAAACTATCCAACTGTGTAAGGGTGGGGGGTCGTCCTTTTCACTCAGCAGGAAGGTCCCCTTAGACATCTCTTTCCTACAGTAGAATCCCACACTGCCATCATCTGCTTCTTTCTATCCTTTGAGATCCTGCTGTCACTGTGAGGAGCCGCTGTGTTACCATCTAAAAAACAGGGACTGGTTGAATTGTCCTTCTTCCCTTGTGTGTCTGTCCACGCCCAGGACACCTCCTTGTCTGAGGTCCTTGGCAGGAGCAGAGAGACAAACTGAAAACCTCAGTCATACTGCCCTCACCTACCTGATATTCGCCCCTTTCGAGCAAAACTTCATTCTAAGCACTTTTAGGTCATCCTGGTCTCTTATTAATAATTCTGTATAACACTTTCTAAGTGTTCTGTTTTTTTTTTCCCATAAGTGAAAGCAGGGTCCCATTTAGAAGCGTACAAAGGTCCCATTTAAAAGTTTACAAATATATCTGATGAATGTTACTGTGTTGTGTTGGGTAGGTGAGCTGACAGTGAGACAGACCTGTCACAATTAATTTTGACATTGCCAGCATTTAGTTTAGCAGCAGTGTTGTTTAACATACCAGGTTTTTATTCATAACATTCATATTGAAATTTCCTAAAAGAGCAACTCAATGTAATTTTTTTGAATCCTAACCTAAGTACTTGTCCTTTTTAAAGGCATTTCTACAGTGGGAGCCACAACGATCCAGGAGGAAAATGCTCTTAATACAGATACGGATTTTGTTCAGGCTGAAAGTGCTGTTGAAGCAAAGGAAAGCTTTCATCCAAAGGACCAAAAGCAAACATTGCAGTCTCTTTTCTCTTTGCTCCGTGAAGAGGTTGAGCAGATGGATTCAAAGATACTGCCCCTGTGTCTCCATCAGGTACTTTCTATGATTTTGGTTAACTGCACACAATTTTTCTTTTATTTGAAACCTTTGTTCATTAGGAAATAGATGCATAAATGCAATTTATACCAATACTCATATCTGGGCAGGACACTTTGATGCATATCAGGTGGTCAAGGCAAATATCTCTTCTAACATCTTCTAATGTTTCCTAAATTATAAATTGCCTTGTAAATATATTCTGTAGTTAAAGGAAACTCTTAAGGATGGGTTTCTAACTGCCCAAATGGTGAAATTAGTTTGGCAGGAAGATTTAGCAAAATCACTCTTTAATCTACCTTGAATAAAGTTTGTAAGACCCTGGTATAGTTACAGAACAGCAGATACATAAATAAAAATTTAAGTCTGGAATTGTTTTTACTGCTGCAGACATCTTTCTACCATAAATTTTATGCATGAATATTAAGATTCAAGGTTTTCTTAGTGTATACCTTTATATTAACACAGTTGCAACACCTGCAAGACCAAAGGAAAAACTGTGGTTTGAAAAGCAATCTTTCTTACAAACTGTCCAATATGTTCCTTTTTTTTTCCTGGAGGTTTTGATGCAGAAGGAATATGTGGATAGAACTTGATGCAGTATTAATGTACAGTTGTTGTTTAGTTATCTCAGACTAACAGCAGACTAGAAGACCTTTTGCTTGGCTGTGATGTCTAATATGGGTCACATGTAGATACTATACCTGGTTTGACTTAGCTGCATTGTCTTTATTTTGGAAGATGTTTTGAATTTCTAAACTGCAATGACATTCATGCATTCTTCTTTGATACAAATCAGCAATTTTATGGGAGAAAGAGGTGTCACTTAGGATTGCACATTATAGGTAGTCTACATTGGACACAGAATTTTAAATTATTTTTTCTAATCTGTGCTTGAGCGAAGATATTTGATACTGTTCCTTAACTTATGAGAAGCTTAGCTTTAGGGTTAACAATTTGTGCTTTTAGCCTCATCCAATATGGTGGTTTTTCACAAGTCAGTACAAAGGTCATTTTTGGAAAACAAGGTAGGGCAAAAACTTAAAATGCTTTACAAATATCAAGGGGATCAATTGCACATGATGGAGGTGAAATGTCTTGCTTTTTAGATGAGGAAGCCAAACCCTGAGGGGAAGAAGTTTTTGAAACTCATACAGGATCTGTGACAGAACTGAGAACAATATCTGCATATTCAGATTGAAATATGTACTTGAACACTATCTCTTTTTCCTAAAAATTCTCAAGCATTTTGAATGGAGTGTTTGAAAGAATGTTAATGGAACTTACAAGGCTCATAACCTGTTTTTAATAGAGGATGGAATGGGGGAGGATTTTAAGTTTAGTGATTTTAAGTTTATTTCCTGTAAAGTGAGTCTGTCAAGAATTTTTTCCCTTTCTAGTGAATTAACCTGTCATCTTCAGACTTTTTTTTTTTCAGATTGCTAATACAGCCTGACAGTAACATTAAACCTAGTCTATCAAATACTCTTCTACAACATTGTTTTTCTATTCTCTATGACAAAATTCAGTGTAAAATCAAGAGCTGTGTCAGATGTTCTGGAGTATTAACAGTCCATGATGTTTGTGGGAAGCCTGTATTGAATACTTAAAGACTGTTGGGTAATAGAGGTTGTTCTAAGAAGCACCTTCTAATTAAAATAGGATGTATTTTTTTTTTTTTTCCTGTCTTGAATGGGATTAATTTGATTTGTTTAGGACTTGTTACAGAATCTAAGAGGTATTTTTATATAGAACATAGGTAGAACCTTTGACAGCTCAAAAAATTCTTAGGATGCTATTGTGGGTAGCAGACAAAACGCGCAGATAAAGAACATTAAAAGTCACAAAATTGGCTTTTGAAGGTACCAAGCTCGGAATGGTCTGGTGGTTAGCAGTCAGGCTGAGAGCCAGGAAATACAATTTGTAATCCAGACTCCTCTGTCAAGTTGCTGTCTTTTTTGAGCAATCATCTTCAGACTTCTGCAAAAGTGCTTATTTAAGCCCTCCATATCATGACTACTTAAATCAGTTCCAAAGACCTTGAGACTGAATTTTTGTCCCACAGAAATCATTGGGGAATCATCTATGAGGTGCCTCAGCCTGACTGTTCTGGTGTCAGCATACCTGAAGTCTTGGACACATTTTGCCAGCTCTGCCCTTGCCTCCCCATGCCTGGCACGCAGGAAAGCTGCCAAAATTTGCTGTCCCTAAGGACTGATTGCTTGTAAGGGTCACTGGTAGGGTAGAGCTCTGTGGAATACTTCTGAGGTTTATATTTTTTGTGTTTCATCACATTTACAAACAAAGATGTCAGTATTCCTCAGCTTTTTAGGAAAGCCTGCACAGTTCTGTAACAAGCACAAATAAGTTATTGTTGCAATTCTCAAATATTTTTTGTTTACAGGAAGACAAAAGATTGTTCTTTTCTCATCAGTCAGGAAACCTCCATTTCTGTTTTAAAACATTGCAATGTAATGCTCAGGAGAGAGCAGCAATGATCTTAATTTGATCAAACATAAGGAAACATTGGTCAGGCACAGAATTCAAACTTTTGAACTGGTGTCAGTAAAAATTGTACTTCTGTTGTAGATCATTTTAAAGCTTTCTATTAAGATAACTAAAAATGTTTCTGAAATAATTTTTATAGTTGTAGGAACTTAAAACCCTACTAAGTTTTTTTTTTGTTTTTTGTGTAATTCTGTAAATTACACAAAATCAAATCTGTTTTGTGTGAGAGGATTTAATATTTCTGTGGTATTTGATACTCTTTTAAAACCTTTTTCCTAGAATAGGAATACATGTATTTTGTCAGAACATTAATATATTACCCAAACTAAATAGGAACCTGCAAACTAGATGTTTCAAGCTATGATTAAAAGTTTATGTTACATCCTTACCACCTTCATGAGAATTATAGAATCTTACTTTTTTTTTCACTTTTGCAGATAGCTGAGACCTATTTTCAAGAGGAGGAATGTATCCTTTTACTTGCAGAAATTGTTGCACAGTATTAAAATAATGTGGTATGATAAAACATAAAAGTCCAATGCTTTGTTGTTAGCTCACATCTTGTGGGTCAGGGTTAGAAAGAAGTGAACAACCATAATTCACCCATGAGTGAACACACAGTATGGTAGCAAATCCTCCTTAATCAAACAACTGGATTGTGAGCTAAGGGATAAATTCACTTCCAACAGCTGTACTGATGCAGTCATTAGTAGCTGGACATAAGCAAGGAAGTAAGAAAACATTTTCAAAGAACTTTTGTTTTTATAGGATAACTTCTATTCTAAATATTAGTAACTGGGAAAATGTCCATTTTACAGATAGAGTATGTATTATATCAAATACAGTACTTACAGTATGATAAAATTATCACAACAGTTGATTAGAATATGTACTAAAAATGTCTAGTTTGGAATAAAAATACCAAACACCTGGAGCTGAGATCAGCAACCTGCAAACAATAGCAAAATGGTGTTTGATGAATGCTAATCAGTCAAAATCCTGTCAAGTTAGTCTGAGAAATTGTTGTAGGAGAATATGGGTAACTGCTTCTGGGAACAGCTTAACAGTCCAGTTTGTTTTGATTTGTTCCTAGGTAATGCAAGTAAGTTTGGTCAAAAAGTTGTAATAGTTGAGCTACTGATAATTATTCTGATATATTTCAATAATTGTGTGAGAGAGTAATAACATTAAACCTCAAAGTTAAGTCAGAATTTCAGAAAAGGTGGACTGGGATTTCCTCTTTGCTTCAAAGTGAAAATGATTAGATTATAAAAAGAAAATGCCAGTGGTAAGCCCTTAAGGTATATGTGATTCACTATGATGCATCATATATTAGAGAATTTGTGCATAGTGATTATTTCTTTATTATGTAATTTGTACAAACAAAATACAGCAAATAGGTAATTGTGTAGGCTAAGTAACAAGGCATAAGAAACCTAGACAAATTATGTTAGCCTGTAGGTAAAACCAGAGAGCTAACAGTTGCAATGTTATAAAAGCAACATATACAACAAAATATCCATCACTGTTGTAGAGGACTGCACTTTTGTTTTGGTCCTCCTCATTCAAAAGGGTCCATCAGAAAATGTGAATTGCACAGCACAAATTAAAGTCATGGAAAAATTCTGTAGTAAGTTATGATGCAGGGGGGGATACAGTAAATTTAAAATATAAATGGCATGGTAGAAACAGTTCCTCTTTCATTGGAGCTGCTTTAATTGAAAGGCATTCTGTTTAAAGCTGATCAAAGGAAATATTTTTTAATGCAATGTACACCTGATGTGTGGAATTCAACACCACTATATAATACATATTTATGAAGGATATCTCCACTGTACCTCCAGCCATCAGTTTCCTGAGGTTAATAAAGAACTTACTTGATCATGTTGCACTGTATTAATTATCCATGACAGACATTTTAATTCATCCAGTGTGGAATCTCATATTAAAAATAATTCAGGGTTTGTTGCTGTGATCCTCTAAGGCTCTCTCTGTGATCTGTAATTCTGTTTCTAATAACAGATTTCCTGAAGACAGGGAATATTCTTTCCATTAATATTGCTGTTCATAAGCCATGCTGTTGCATGAGGCTAACCAGAATAACAAGTACTGGTTGTGTTTTTCTAATAATTACTCCAGTGTTTTAATTAGCATTAATAATGGAAAGTGGGTTTTCTGTATTACTAAGAGCCTCATTCACTTCTATCCTCATTGTATTGTAGAATTACATTTCAAATAGCTGGTAAAAGAGCTTCAAACAGCACAACTAACAACTCAGGCTTAGTGGAGCTAGCATTATCCTGACTATTGTAAAATATGTGACTATCAGTGTAACTTTGTGAATATATTGATAACCCTAAGGAAGGGGAAAGAGTTCTTCATGTAGAAGAAAAGTGAGCAGACTCTTGAGGAAAACAAAAGGTAAACTTAGCAGCCCAACAGTGTTGTATATAATGGTTGAAAAGAGGGCAGGTATTTTTCATAAGTTGAAGTTGGATCAGTTGTTTTAATACTGTCTCCAGCTGGTCAGTAGAAAGGAGTCGTATTTTCAGTTAGTCATGGTTATTGGCATGTATTTGTACTTCTTGCGGGATATGTGCTGATATTTGTTTTGCTTGTCATTTCCCAGAGATTTCATATTTTTGGTAAAGTTATCGGCATAATGATATTTCAGTCATTTCTTTTCAAGAAAAATCTTTTGTTGTGCTTCAGGCACATGGGAAGAGGTACCTGCTGAAAAGAATAGGATTTTCATTTTTGAATGTTTCTCAACTCATTTTACTTCTTGCCTGCCATTTTCATGTCTGCTATTTTTTCTTTCTTGCAAAGAAATTGGGTTGCTAGCCCTTTTTCACTTTGATTCACTTATTTCAAATTTCAAGTGTGTAATTACTTCCCTTTCAAACATGATATCAATTATAAGTAAGTTATACCTTGTCCACATATGTGTGCATTTGCCTTTAACCTTTCATTCAGATGAGAAGGCCATGAAGTTCATTCAGCTTGAACGACTTTATCATGAGCAGCTGCTTGCAAATCTTTCTTCCATACAGGAGCAGTGGGGTGAGTACCAGCTAAACTAATATGGAAGAAGAAAGACTTTAGTTTCTATTTCTAAATAATAGAGTTACATTTCCAGGCTAAAAATGTTACATAGCAAAAGTGGCATTGATATCAGAATTTCTCTGAGCTTGTTATAAGAAGAGTATTCATGCTTTGGAATTTTTTGCACACATTTAATTATAAATGTAGAAATAGTTTGTAGTTCTTTATTCTGTTAATCAAGATTCTGATCCACAGCTGTTTCAAGGTCATTTTTGTGTTAGGATTGGTGAGTGTGATGGATGTGGTGAAAATAAAGTGTCTTCTGAAAGAATAGGATGCTGTTCTACATAGTCTGAAACGAGACTGTAGAACATACACAGAAAAGTTGTCAATATTTCTCCATTAATTAGTTTCACCTACTTGTATTATGTTAAGCTACTTTTATAGTATCTTGAGTAAAAATTATTTTGATTTAATGTAGAAAGAAAATGGAAAACAGCAGTTCCCAGTCCAGTTACAACACTGAGGAATTCAGATAAAGAGCTGAGTGGCCAAGAACTGGAAAAGCTTACTAGAGTTTGCTCTTCACATCAACAGTGAGTATAAGAAAGTATTATTACTCCTCAAACTAATATGTTACTGCAGGTGTTGTCTCCTTGCCATTATGGGCGTTCTGAAATAATAAAAAATAAAAGTTGCATCGCTGACTTGAATTTGGTTATGAAGTGGTGGTTCCTTCTGATATGTAACTAAAATATTTTTACCATCAGTTTTCACATTTTTAAATATTGTTTGAGGAACTCATGAAGACTAAATCTGAATTCGTTTTAGCAAATCATCAGTTTTCCAGAACAGGAGTTTTGAGTTATTTCAACCAAAGGAAAAACTGAATACTGTTAATTTAGGAAGAGAGAGACTGTAGAACTAATGATGGTATTCCTGTTTAATACCTATTGGTTTAATCATTGTTTCAAAATGCAAATGTCCAGTGTCTCACACTTCAGCACCCATACCTGCGCTATAGGATTTTATTCCCAAATTTCCACATTTTAGGACAATTTCTTAATGCTTAAAGTAGTTCTTGTTACCTTCTATTAATTTCATATTGGTTGCATTTACATGAAGCAGTGATTCTGTACTTTCCTAGCACAACAGTGTTCTGAACAGTGAAATCTCAGTTGGTAGCTGCTTTGCCTGATCCACCAGCCTCCTGAATCAGTGCATCACAGTACAACAAACTTGTGCCTAGGGTGCTTTTCTGGGTAGTAACACATATGGGATTGTACCCATCAGGTAGGAGGAGATCTGTTCCTTCATGGGTGAATATCCTACTGTCCAGACATTGATTTTAATGCACAGATGGAAAAAATCATACGAGCTGCCAGTGAAAAATGATCAGCCAACAGCAATAAGAAACTAACTGCATTCAAAGGCTGTCACAGGCGAGATGTCTCAATTAGATGGGGAGAGAGAACTTTCTCTAGTACATTTGCATTGGCTTAGTCAGTCTGATATAACAAAAGCCAAACTGCTCATAAAGAGTAGTGATTTGGTTATCAATTTTTTTTTCTTCTGAGTGATGGTAGCAAAGTTTGAAAACATGGCGACTGATTGCCAGAATCCATGCAGGGATTTTTCACATGTATTCTGAATGCCTTTGGGAGGGAGCCCCTGGAAAGGTATTCCTGCATTCCCACAGGGAGAGGGGGCAGGTGTGGCACTGGAGCTGCAGGTTTGCAGCTGCAGTGAGCGCCTGCGGCTGCCCCAGCCCTCATTGCCTGCACAGGAGCTTGTGAGCCCACTGAAGGGCTGAGCTCTGCTGTGATTTATGTGCTGCAACGAGCAGCACCTCCCTGCTCTCACCTGGGTTGTCACTTTGCTGAGAATAACTCTGCTTTCTTCTTCATTTCAGTTTTGAAATGTCATTCCCTGTTCTGAGAAACCCTGCAATTTGATAAAAATTAAGGCTTGTGTTCATTCCTGTGATCAGTGCTCTGTATGTAATACTATTACTCTTTCAGACTCTCAAGGCAAAAGGCTATTTGCTTTTATTTTTTCATATAGGGTTTTTCCTAAGCTTTAAACTAATTTTACTTTTTAATTGAAATTACACTTTAATTTTTAATGAATAGCATGCAGGTCTTGGAAAATGTGAGCATTCTGCTTTTTTAATTGAAAGTAATGTAAATTTTTCTCATACTCAAGTTTTACAGCTACATACTGGACATGTTTGCTCTTTAAAGATAGTTTTGAGTGTCCTTTATTTGAATTTTACATGGTAAAATTTTAAAGGCAATGTAACTTTTTGAAGTTTTGGTTAGAGAATATGAGCATCCCTTGTCTCTCCAATTTTTTTTCAGTAGCTTTAAATAAAACGCTTCACATTTTATCTTCATTGCTGTATGAAAGACTGTAAGACAGATTGTGTGTGATAGATCACATTGTGCATGAATCTGTATCCAGCTGGCAAAGTCCACACTGACTGTGAGCAGCGTTGATTCACCTGTGAATCTGAATGGGGTCAGTGGGAGCTGCTGTGCCTTACAGAAACCAGAAAATGTCCCGGTCTGTGGAGAGGGAAATACAGTTTTTAGGGAGGGCATTTCGTTCCTCAATCCCTTTTATAATGATCCCTATTTTTAAATATTAGTAGATATCAAGTTCTTGTATGATTTTTAATGTTGGTAGAGTTTCTTCTGAGCATAACCTTTTACAAGAATGTACATTGCTTGATATGTTGCAGTAAATTTTCTTCTGACTGCTTTCTCAGTTAGGTGGAACAATGTTAGGGCTAATTGGTCTTCTGATGATACTCATGCAAGTACAGATCTGTGCCTGAAGGTATGCTAGCAGGCTGACACTTTCAGTGGAAGAAAAGTTCTGTGCTAATTTTAGAGCAGAGCAAAAGTTTCTAAGATTTCACTTACATTTATCATGAAGAATGTTGCCACTAGATTGTTTAATTTATTCTTTTTTTCTTTATTGCTGCAGGCCACAGGCATCCAGAAGTAAGGTAGGCAGCTGTTTAATTGAATTCTTCTTTGTCAAAAGTTGGTAATAAATATATTTTAAATATTAGATAAAATCTTTCAAGTTTAGAAGCTTTTTGAAGTTTGAATGTCTCAAAAAGCCACGGCATTCCTGTTTAATTTCAAAAATTACAGGTAATACTGTCATATTTTACAGCTAGTAGCTGCAGAAAATACATGGGAAAGCAGTTCTTTACCTCAGTTAATGGAATCCAGAACTTCAAAGGAAAGAGAAGCTACTGCTTTTAAATCAGGTATGTGTATATGAATGTACATTTGTTTTAAATATTACACTGTAAAGACATATTCCTATAAATAAAATTAAACTATTTCATTTGAAACTGCAGCATTTGGTGGATCTCTACAAATGCACAAATGGATGATTTTTTTTTCTCAGCACAATGGATAAATGCAATTTTAATTTGTCATCGATATTAATAGTTGTAAAGTAATTCTAGCCTCCATCAAAAAAAAGTCTTAAATGTGCATACTTTATATTAGCTTATGTAAGCTAATTGTATAAAAAAAATTGTATGAAACTAGAGATAAGATGCATAATTTGTATGTGTACAAATATATACTAGGTAATCAACCTGATGACATTCTGAGGTGTGGCAATGGAGTATGGTTAACAATATTAATAACTGTTTTAAGTTACATGCCGTGTACTGATGTTGAGATACATTTTTCTGAAGCAACACAAAAAATGATGCCTTTGGGAGGTCTTGAAGAGAAAAATATTCAGTTAATTGTTTTCAGTACATACTTTTATGTCATTTTCAGCCTCATTTTCCTTTTTCTGCCTTGGGGCAGTGGCCATTTTGTCTGAATCTTTGGGTTCTTATGAAACATCTACAAATTAATGAATTGTTAAAATGGAGACAGAGTGGGAAAGAATATTGGTAGACGACCAGGCTGTGCTTTTTCTCTCCTCTCTCTGAGCAAAAACTTTCTGGTATTTTGCCATATTCCAGTTGCCAAAATTGGCTTTAGCTAAGTACCTTCCCTCAAAAACAGCTGGAGTTCTTCAGAAGATGAGAACTGGTCTAAGTGATTCTAGGAGGTCCCTTTCAACCTAAACTGTCCTACAAGTGTGTATCAGCCAGGATGTTCAGGAGAATCAGAAATCAATGAAGATACAGAGTCACAGTTCTCTACACACGTGGATCCTCCTTATCTCCTGTTCTCTGCTTTTTTACCATGACCCCTATGCTGCCTTTTCTCCACTTCTATTACTGTCACCTAACTAAACATAAAGCATTAGAAACATGAAACAAACATGTTCTGCAGCTCAGACAGCAGATCAAAAGAACACAGGTGCTTTTTATTTTTGAATGGTTGGAAATTCCCATGGAAAAAAAATAGATTATTACAATTTTTCCTCTGATTTTGTTCCAAGTGGAAACGAAAGCTTTCTGGAGAGCAGAATTTCTGAACATTTGAACATTCTGCATTCAGGAGCATTTTGTTTCAATGTTGAAATACTCTAGTACAACATCTTGATGTAATGTGGAAGTAATTAATGGTGTAAATGGATCTTTTCCTGCCTTTATCTTAATGTAAATCTTGTCAAAATACCATCAAAATCTTTGGAGTCCTGTGCAATGTTGGTAAATTGATAAAGCTATGTCATCCAATAAAAAGCAGTTCTGCTGAGAAATTTTCAGCAGAGCAAAGTACTTCCAACACAAAGATAGGAATATTTCCATCCTGTCTCGAGTGCTTTCTTGAGGAAGCAGTGAATTCTCTCCCTGGTGAGTGTGAGCAGCTGTTCAGGCAGCATGTGGTCATTAGCTGCTGCTGCCCTTCAGTGTCAGTGCATCCCCCCATGTGCCTGGGGATGAATGGCTTTGGTTGCAGTCAGAAGGATTTGGGTAGGGAAGGCAGCAGTGTGAACCAGTACAGAAATTTGACAAAAGTGATTCATAATCTGAAATACCATTCGGATAACAAGCTGTGCCTGAGTGGTCCAGCTCAGGACTAGAAACAATATGACCATTTGGGACTGGTTTTTGATTTTGCCTGAACCCCAGCAGAATCCTATATTACAATGAACATACAGTTTCTAATATTTAACCTTTTCAGCAGTAGCCTAAATGCATGGGCCTTCTCACCGAAAACTTGGAATGCTTGACTTCTGCTTTTTAGGTGGTTTTTTTTTCCTCTACCAAAAAAAAAGAAACATGAAATGAAAAATGAGAAGTAAGCATGTAAAGTTTTACTTTTCTTATGCATTTATCCACCAAACCACAGGAAGAACTGCTTAACTCATTTAGCTGCTTGTAGTAGAAGTCTGGCTTTACAGTAAGACAGGAAAAAGAAACTGTCACGTATTTTGAGAACTGGCCTTCATATGGATCCATATATAATAAGAATTTATGTAGCAATTATCAATAAGAATATGTAAAATGCATTGTAGCAATATCTGTATTACACTGTAGAGATTGTTGCACTGCACTATAGTAGTATCTTTGAAGTAAAATCAAACTTGCCTGGTAATCTGAGGCAAAAGTTACTCCCATTGATCTGCTAAGGTATATGGGAACATAGTTTGAGCCTCTGTAGGCAGTTGATCCTAAGAATTCACAATTCCTCTCTCCTGGGGCTGCAGCGGCTGACAGCTTTATAAGAAGTCATCCAGTCAGGATTCCTGGGGCAGTACCTAATTAGATTTCTGCCCTTCTGAGCAAGGGTTGTGAATGGTCTGTTCTATTAAATTTTACTTTCTGGCAGATTTTCACTCTGAATCTACCAACAGAGAGAATTTGGCCCTTAATACTATCTGTATATATAAAGATGAGATTTGATACATCCTTTTCCCATTAATTTCTTCAGCTTCTGACTGAAAGCAGAAACTTAATAGCCTTTAGTGTTAACTAAAGTTAAATTAATGTGTTTCATGAAAACCTTCCTAATGAGACACTGAATTTAACAAAACTCTTAGCATAAGTTTGCAGTGTGTACATGTAGTTTAGACTCATTTCCAGGATGGGGAGGAAGTCTTTATACCCTGTTTTCTGTTAGGTTCTATGGGATTTGTTTTTTAATTGAGAAGGATGAAGGTGGAGAAGTGTGAATTCTCCATTGGTGGTAGATGACTGTGGACCAATATTCTGTCTGCTAGGCTGTCCTGGATTAGCAGGACAAAGTGGTGCCTACAGGTTCCTGTGATGAGCAAACCAAGTGTCAATTCTAATGCAACTCTGTCAAGGGGAGAAGAAACCGTTTTTTTAAATTAGCATCGGTGCTTTTGTTGCTAAAAAATTTTCTGTAGACACTTTGCTGTATCTCTGTCAGTCAGGCAAAAATTACTGCTCCTGGTGGGTATGTCTTCAATTAACTTAGTGTAGGGAAAGGCATCTTCTTTAATTAAGTCTTCAAGTATTTGTCTTAACTTGCCCTTAGTCTGTAGGGGGCATGGGTTTCCTGAAGTAGTTGTAAATATTGAACACTGCTGAAAACTTGATGTGAATGATTATTGCATCCCAGTTCTTGTACATCTGTGGTTACATAACAGTACTGGGATCACTTATTACTTTCTTAGGAACAGTGCCCTGAGCTCAAGGGACACCTTTCACAGTAAAGAATCGGATTCAATTTCCGATTCCATTTAATCTTTGTTGCAGGTGGGGCTGCCAACAAAGATGCCTGTTGTAATGTGGATGTATCCACTAGGAAAAATTGACAGATGGTAACAAAATCTTGTACCAATAATCCAGGCTGTGTTTGAGCTCATGACCTGTATGTGAAGGGCTTAGTATCCCATTACAAATCCCATGAGCTGTCTACTCATCTGTGTCTAATTTTTAAAAAGTCCCTATCTCACACCTATTCTTTCAGTGTTTTACTGAAGTTAGGTTCCCTGTGCTCTTTCTTTCTGTTAATGTCATTCTGATTTTTTTCCCACATTTTGATTTGCTTGGATATTCTCTTTTTCAATTTTCAAGTCTGTCTTTTCCGTGCTGCCTTGCATTTCATTATCCATTAAAAGGGGTATGGTTTGGAATTTAATAAAATTGTTCAGTACAGTGAATTAGTGCAAACATTTGTTTTTATGAATGTGACTATTTTGTCAACAAGTTCAGGAAAATGCTCACATTTTAAGAGAGGTTTTAACAGGTGAGGAAGAATAAAATTGGCATGGAGAACTCGGTTAAGAAGGGCATTGTTTGATATCTTTATTAATCTGTTCATAAGATCTTTCTGCTCTTCACTAGTACCAGAAAATGCAAGTAAGTATTTTAGAAAGTTCATTTGTTGATTGAAAATATTTCTGTTACTGCAACCGTAGTCCTCTTATAACAGTCTTAACATAGTTTTTATTAAAATATGGAATAAAAGGCAGTTTCTGTCCTAGGTAGCTTACTTTGATATTTTGATTCTTAACAACTCCTTTCTTTTTAAGCCTAAAAACAGTGTTTTGGCTTTCTTGTAATGATTAATACCTAATAATTTCATAGGTAATTTGGGCTAAGCATCTACTCCTTCATCAGCAGATCATGCCCACAGTAGGTGAATTCACAAGCTGTGTAGGACCCTTTGTGCGTCTCTGAAATTTCAGATAAGAAAAAATAATTTTCATATGTGTGTAAATATGAATACAGAAATAAGTTGCATCAAATTGCATTTTTAATATGTAAACTTAGTGATCCAAAAAGCAGCATCTTTTTATGCTGTCCATTTATGGGAAATGTAATTTCTATTTAGTTTTGTGTTAACCAAAGGAGCTAGTGATCTGCAAATTTAACATTTATTAAATTAGTATGATTTCAACTTCTTTAATGGAAATGCAGATATCTCTCTAGGTGATAGATACACTGGCATCAAGGTACAGTTTTCTCTAATTAAGTGTATTTTCCTGAACTCCAGGACTCCATGAGATGACTCATGTTAAATATCCATTAGAAAAAAAGTGACTGTTCACAAAGATACTCACATATTGGGAGTAGCTTTTTTCAGAAGGACACTGAATCGTGTGCTTCATCTGCAAGAATGTGTACAAATACTTTTTTTTTTCCTGAACCAGGAGTCAGAGACTAATAATGAAAGTTATCCTGACTGGAGCATAAAATACCTGCCCTTTATGGGAGAGCATTTTGAAGCATTAGGTTACAATGTTATCAAATCACAGTATACTCTTTCCCCCCTGGGCTGAAGCTTTGAATCATTTAAAAACTCTGGAACTGTTTTTCCTATTGCACTTAGGTACTGAAACTTGTCCTGGCGTTGCACCAAAGAAAGAAGATAAACAGCTGAGCGCTGTTTGCCCCGGTGAAAACAAAACTGGGAGACAGACAGAGGCAGCAAGTCTTCGGGTAGCTGCAGGAAAGGACCACATGGAGGAGCAGCACTGCAGGGCTGAGTCAACGCTGGAGCCACACACCCAGTCCACAGGGACAGGGGGCAGGCCTTCCTCGGGCTGTTTATCATCTGGGGATGCTGCTGAAGATAACAGTCTGCAGCTGAGGGAAAGACAGCTCTCCAAGGATGCAGTGAAAATAGAAGGGGCTGGGGAGCCTGGAGTGAAACTCCCTCTTGAGCCAATGGTAGATGCTTTGGCTTTAACAGATGATGATTATATGCCTGCTGATTTGGTTCCTTCTGACAAAGATGTGCCAGCTGATAGAAGTCTGCTCAGATCAAAACATGCTGCTGGGTCTTTAGAAATTCCTAGCGGCCAGCTTGGAAACAGTGATTTAAAGCAGCAACAGATACAGCCTGACGATGATGATGATGATGAACAGTCTTCATGGGACAGAACTGCCTCAGGTGAATGCTCTGGGTGTAATGAAGTGTCTGAGCATGAGAGTACTGCCCATTCACGGGTGTGCAAGGAAATGCAGAGAGCAGCAGGACAGGAGGAGAAGGTCAATAATGAACAAGAAGACTTATTTCTGAGATTTTTGAATGGTAACATAATAGACAGTGAAGAGTCTGCAGACTTAGCAAACCAAGAGGACTTTGACACTGTTCCAGATATTTCACCTGAACGAGCATCTTATAACTCCCTGGAAGCTTTATCACTAGATGACAGCTTTTCCTCTCTTGATGAACTTACAAGAAGGATAGAGATTACTGAGGTAAATATTGTAAATCCTATAAAATCTTTAATGTTTATCTCAGTTAAAATATTTTAGATGTTGCCAACTTAAAAATATCTTAAATATTCCTTTATGTATCACTTTTCCAAATCTGAAATCTATACATATTTAATTGTTCTGAGTTACTCAGAAAAAAGTTTCACTTTGCCTCTCTGTCTCCTTCTTGACCAGCAGTGCACTGTGTTTCAAAAATCAGATTGATATCTTATATATGAGTGTGATACCTGGGGGGGTTAATTTTTTTTTTATTCTGACAGAGACTGTTAAGAGATGGTCTCACAATTACTGTTAAATCAAATTTTCTGTCAGAAATCTACATAATACCTATGATGTACCATCATTCATTTCTATGCACAGAACAAAGTTTGCTTTTTTTGTGCTTAATCCATAGAGGTAAGAACTACATATATATAAAAATTCTGTATATGAATGAATGGGTTTTTGATTTTGTCAAGTTAGGCAGATTTGTTGTTGAACCCAAGCTAAGAAAGAGCTTCTAACCCTGAACCCATCTGGTAGGCCTGTAACAAGGATGAGTGCTTCATAAGTAAATTGCTCTTCTGAAAATAGAGAAGATTTATTGCTTTGGGACTTTTTTGGAGAGTGTAATGACAACATCTTTGCTTTATTTCTCTTCTGGTTTTGCTGCATTTGCATCCTTAAGAGCTTTTTTTTTTAAATTAAAAAGGAGTGTATTGTGAAAAGATGTTATTTCAGATGCTGGAGGGGGAAGGCTTGTATGAAGGTATCTCCTTAGTTCATTTCTATTTTTAAGATCTTTAACAATAGACTATCCCCTTGGCAATAAAGTTACAGTACTTCTCTGTAGATCAAGCTAATGCACAGAGACCAAGAACCCCCATGGTTGCTCGAGGACAGTGGCCAAGCAGGGAATTAAATATTGGAGGTCAATGCTGATGTTATTACGTGTTTGGTAGTCTCCAAAGCTGAAAAGAGAGCATTTTGCTTTTTCTCCCCACCTAAAGAGTTTCTTACATCCTTTCCAAGATCATGCTTCTTGTCTTTTTGTGGGCCCTCAGGAATTATGCCACATACCAGGACTGACAGCCATGTGCACAAAGCTGTACACAAGTAGATGTGGAAACCCACATACATGTGGATACATGTATCCCAAATTTTCCTAAGTCCATTGGCTTGTGTTCACTTAGAGGGTGGTTTTGAAAAAGAGCATTTTGTTGACAGTCTGTGCTAAGCCTGAATACGTGTATAACAAAAGAGTAATTTAAGTATCACCCCTCAGCATTAAATTTCTTTTGGGCCCACTGAAAGTGCTGCATTTTAGCAGAGGAGTACTGTTCTGTTTCACATAGATATAGCCTAATTTAATCCAATAGCATCTATTTTTAAATAGCTGTGTTTGTGCTGTTTGTGTTCCAGAGGATGGGATAGGAAGAGCATATTGATACTGTTAGAAAAATTATGCTTGTATTGATTGTCCCTGTGACTGATGATGATGCTTTACAGGACATCTAATTTCAATTCCAGTTTGCTTTCCTGGTGCTGGGACTGCCAGTACTCTGATGGCAGAGTTGAGTCTCTGCAGAGGAACAAGTACCTTGAGTTTTTCCAAGGTACTTTTCTGGCCATGTAAGATGTCATGTTGGCTGCATTGGTGAGAGTCCTCTTGAATCATTCTTAGCAAGAGGCCTGAGTTTTGTGTGAGGCAGGGGGCTTAAATGGGAGAAGGGAAGAAGGATTAACATCAGTAGCAATTAAAATTTGTCATATGCAGCATCTGGGGTTGTTTTGCAATACTTGGGATTTCTAGCTGCCACGGGGTGAGGTAAGGACAGCACACCAGCTTCTGTTGTTTCATTATACACTCATAGGATGTTCTTCCAGTTAATCTTACCACCATCAGTAGCCTAGGGGTTGTTTTTCAGAAGTGATGAGCACCCACAGCTTTCTTGGAAGACACATTTGAAAGAGTTTGGCACCCCTGAGAAAGCAGCAGCATTGTTAACTTGTGTTCATTGATTCTGTTTCAGTGCCAGAATGAGATTGCACTGAAGTTTTGACGAGCAGATGGAATCTTTGTACCCAGCTGTAACACTTCTTCCTTTCTTGTCCTCTTGAAGGCTTTGAAATTGCATTGCTCAGGCTATGGCAACTTAAGAAGATAATGGTGTTTTCATACACTGGTTGTTAATGAGGTATCTAGAAAATGCATTGGTAGCCACATGAGTGAAATTAAATGAACCACATGAAATATACCAATGTGGCAGTAAAAAAGAAAAAAAATATAGTCAATTTGACTGTGATAAAACTTGTCACGAAGTAAGTGCTTATGAAACTGCCACAAATACAATAGAAGGTGGAAGTAAAGATAATTTTGAAATAACCTGGGAGAAAAAAACCTATATGGCAGGATAAAATTTCATTAATGTTCTTCAACTGACATATAATAATAATTTATTGAAGATGGTGAAGGGTAAATACTTGTGTATGTATTTACAGTTAGGAAGTTTTGCTTGGCTCTATATTGTGAGCCAAGAATCATCTCATGCAGTTTTCTAACTTAGATACTTTGTCACTTGCTGTTAGTTTATAATTTACAATAGCTAATTGCAAGAGTGAAAATTCACCAAATTCTGACTCTGGATTTAAATAGTTGCAAAACTGAAATAGTAGTTTTCATATTGTACAGGCCCTTATACTGGGTATTTCTTCACTAGTACAAGCCACGTCCAACAATATGCACATGGTGGAAAACCACAGTCATTTTATAGAAACAAGATTTGTACAGCTAACAAAGAACTTTGAAGCACAGTCAGAAGCTGGCAACAACAGATACTACAAGTATATAGCTCTTCTTAAATATCTTTGCTATCATTTCTCTGAGGATGAAATTACACACCAGTGGCAAAACAAATTGTAACCTCAATAAAGTTGCATTTTGCTATATAAAATAAAAGGTTGTACCATAAATTTTCTATGTGAAAGTGAGTAAAATCTTAAATTTTTTCCTTATTAGAACATTAGAATTGGGAAATTCTTTTTAGAAAGCAATGTCTACCAAAACATAAAGCTTTTGGATGGCAATTTGTATACCAAGAGTTTCCACTAAGTTTGGAGGCAGTGTTTTGGATCCTCTATTCTCTTGTATGGCTTGGGTCCCATAGCTTTGAGTTTGTAAGAGCTATGCTCCCATGTGAAGTGCTTACATGGTGTCAGGTATCTGCTGCTGTGTAAAGGAGCTCAGGTACTGGCATGGCAAGTGCATCAGCAGGAAAAAGAGTTCCCTTCAGTAGCTGTGGTGTGAATACTGAACCTGCTAAGTCAGCTCTTTTTCAAACTCAAATTACTCACTTATCTAATGTATTTTATTAGCCAAGGGGTTTGTCTGCTCTTTTACTGTAACACAGGCAGTCTTGGGTTTTGTCGTATTGGGGATTACTGCTTTAAAAAAAATCTGGTATTGCTTGTAATAAAAGTACAGTCCTTTGCCACGTAACTGAATAAGGAATACAGCCCACAGAAGAATACACAAACCTTCTTGAGTGGTTTTCTGCATTCAGACCAAACTAGCTCATACAATGAGCTTTTCTTCCTAATTCCCAGTTTGTAGTGCCTCTATTTGAGGTTTTTATTTATTCTATATGCACAACTAATTCTGAGCATCAAATTCAGTATGCTTTGTCTCAGAACTTGAATTACAAGGCCTTATTTTCATAGTTTTGTCTGGTATGTTTATACATATACACACATTTGTTGAAAATAAGCACAGTGTAAGAAGCCTTTTGTTATTTTATTACCAAATGCTGTTTTAAACAGAGAAGAGACAGGTAGTTTAATTAGTTTATTTCTTCTAATTTTGCAACCTGGTTATTAAAATTTATCTGAAAAGTGTGACACTTTTGATTGAAGCAGATTCACTTTCGATTAATGGTGGGGAAAAGAGAAAAAACTTTATTTAACAGTTTCAATTAACCAACAGTCATTGCTGCTTTCCTTTTTGCCTGTTGGTGAAAATGCCACCACACAGCTGCATGCCACTCTCAGTTCCTGTACAGTGACTGTAAAAGCTCCTGTGGAAAGATTTTGTGAAGGCCAGCAGAGCTGAGTAAGCTCAGTTACACAGATGCTCCAAGACCAGCTTTTGTTAGATGAATTAAGAAAATATCTGATGTTTCAATAGGGTCCTTTTTGCAGCTCTTTCAGGTAAGAGCTGTTTGCAGGGCAGTCTGGTGCAAGCCTGTTTTTTTCTGCCTGTGGTTCAAGTCTCTGCTTGACTTGTGGTCAACTGTATTGACCACAGTTCCCTCGTTAACTTCCAATTTAAATAACACATTCTGCCTTTTTTAATTCCCCCTGCCTCCTAAAGAGTGGAATGTAGGACTTCGTCTTGTGTGGCAGCTAAGTCCTTCTCTTTGAATGTTTAATTAGTGGGAGATGGATCTAATGTAATCACAAAGACAAAAAGAACCTGAAGTATATAACTTAGAGAATTTAAAGGCAGATGAAGTATAGTCGTGCCATGGAGCTGAGTCAGGGAAGGTTTAGGGTAGATATGAGGAAAAGTTTCTTCACCCAGAGAGTGCCTGGGCACTGGAACAGCCCCCCAGGGCAGTGGTCACAGCAGCAGCCTGACAGAGCTCCAGAAGTGCTTGGACAGTGCTTCAGGTACATGGTGTGACTCTTGCGGTGTCCTGTGCAGGACTAAGAGTTGGACTGGATGACCCTTGTGAGTCCCTTCCAGCTCAACATATTCTGTGATTCTAGTCTAGGTATGAATTACATATCATGTAATTCATGTAAAGGGGCCATTTTTCAAAATCCAGTTTATGGCTTTTGTTGGGATAGAGAAGTAACACTAGCCACACTGATTTTTATTGCAAAATCAAAAGCACTTGCTCCCTCTTTTTAAGCAAAAGAAGATGTTCAGAATAGAGAAACCCGTGCTGTGTCAGATTAGTTCTTTATACATTTAAAGTAAATCCTGAAATGTATCCATGTAGGCTGACAGGGAAAGTAAATGAACCTCATTGTAGCAAGTCTTTCCTCCAGAAAGCCTTTTATGTAACTGTAATTACTGCAACACATTTCCACATAATCCTGTCAAGGATAGCCCTCTGGTTTTAAGCTTGGAGAAGACAAGTTGGTGACACAGTCAATTCAGAAACTACCAAGAGCCAACAGGCAAAATGAAGTGCCTCAGGTTGCAGTGGTGACTTGCAGAACAGAGCACCACTTCTAACCTTAGGGCAGACTGGTAGGAATGCCCTGCCAGCTCTGGGTGACATTCCCACCTTGTGCAGTCCAAGCCACTTGGGAATAATCACGACAGGCAACAGCCAGCCTGCTGTGTGGGTGGTGTGGGAGGAGCAATTGATCCTCTTTATGAAAGCAATGCTGTAAGCAGAAGCTTAAAATAATCTACTCTATAAAAGGATATCATTTCATCTCCACCCTTCCAAATAAATAAGTCAAATTTAAGCACTCCTACATAATCCCCCTTCCTTGTCACAACAAAGAAACATAAGTGTTGATTTTTCTGCTGGCCTGTTAAATTTTCATGGCAGTTTTGCAAGGTTAATTTAACATTACCAGTAGAAGCTGCAACTCAGTGCACTCATTTTTTGAGGTGAGACACTTGCAGACTATTATTTCTGGGTCATTTGTGCCAACTACTGGTCCTTTGCCTGTTGACTTAAACAATTTATTTCCTCTGCCTCCACACTTCCACTACTTTCCAAGTACTTCCTTGCATTGTTTCATTAAATAATGCATTCGAGCTCTTGAACAGATAAACAAAAGGGAAAGTGACTATCAGAAATGTGGCAGAGATCAGTTTTATCCTCTCAGTAGTTCTGGGTTTGTTATTTGTCCATTTGAGGGCTATAAAATACTGCCAGACCAGCGACCTGCAAGTGCAATTGCACATTTGTCAGTTCAGTGTTGCAAAGGCCAAAGCCGCTGCAGTGCCTATTGGATTGTGCCCGTGTCTCACTGTGTGCAGGGCACCATCTCTGACTACAGTCGATGCTTTATATAAGCTCGTAGCACCAGGCAAGCTTAAGGACATAAGTTATGGAGTTGTTTGTTTTCTGTTTCATTTTCTCTTGGAAATGCAATGCAGACAAGTTTTTATGGGTGGTCTTCTAACTTCTGTTAGAGATAGGCTTAAGCAGTCCTTTGTCTGCAGCTACAGGGTTACTTGGAAAGTAGGGGGGTTTGGTGTTTTTGTGAAAGGTAGAGACCTTTGGGGTCATCTAATAGATGAATTGCAAATTCGGTTGTAAATGTGATATGTTTTATCTGTAGCACAGATGTATACATACTACTTTTCAATTTAACAAATGTTACTGATGATGTACAGAATTAAGGTTTTTGAAGTCTTACTAAGATCTAGGAAGAAATAATTATGACTTTTTTTGAGGCAAGGATACTCAAAAGTTAAAAAAAAAAAAGGGCAATTCTAAACATGCTTTCGTCTTTAATTTCTGTTTATTTCTAGCACACCAGGAACTACTTGCTTAGCAAAGCATTTTTCTTCTGGTACTTCACCTACTTTCATTTCATTAATAACTTGGAACTTAAAGACTGCTCAACCAGCCCAGTATGGCTTACTATATATTCTTCAACTAATGGAAATGCTATAGCAAAGAAGAGAGAAGGTGTGGTTTATTGACTTGTTGGCCATATTGCTGTTTGGGTGACCAGCCTCTGGGAAGGATTTTTTTGCTGCTGCTGTATTCAGAGAGCTTATTACAATGTGGAGCTGGAATCTATCCAGAGCACTGAAGCTTTCTTTTTCCCTGGTGTTCCCTCTTTTCGGTTTTGTAGCCCTGCTGTAGCTGCTTGTCCCCCCTGGGGAACCAATTGCAGTGCTGGAAAATTAATCTCACAATAAGTATTTGATGGTCTCTGCAGGATTATATCTTTGGAGAGGCAGCAGCAGTGTGTCATTGACTTCTTACTGCCCTCTGATGATAGTGATTTTGACACAAATCCGCCTCACCACTGCCCCTGCCCATGTGAGCTTGCAAAGGAACACAAAGTACGATCCAAGCAGAAAATGTGTGTGCATTTCACTTTTAAAGCAATTAAAGACCAGCAGTGTCAGTAAGCAGCAGAATGATACTGCAGCTGTCCTGTCTGTTCAGGACTTGATGTCTCCAAGAAGGAGGTTTCACAAGTGCTGCAATGCTTAAGAAAAGTAGACTGGAAATCATTTATTAACTGTTTAGCTTGGTTCCTCCCTGAGTCGTTGTTAGAAATTGAAGCATGAGCTCTATTTAACATATCACTGAATTCCCTGATAGATTACCCCAGTGGAAGGATTGGTGTCTATACTAAAGAAGAGAGATGACAGAGATGGAAAAACAATTGCTCAAGTCCAGCAAAGGCAAACAAAGAGAAGAGTGAGATTCCAAGAAATGGAAGACACATTGGATCAAGGTAGCTTAAAATTTGTTAATTCATGGATTGTGCTCTTGGGGTGCAAATATTGTCAATCTTTTTGTTCATAGCAGCAAAGCAAGCATTTATTGAACATACTCTCTTGTTTTTTTTAAACTTAGTAAGTAAAGGTGATTGATCAGAGATTGTTAATCTGTACCAAGTTTGGGTAACAAGACTACAGAAGGATACAATGAGCACACTTCTGTTTTAAAGCTTGGTTGAGAATGAAGCCACTGCTTTTTTCCTCTGGCTGAATGATTTACAAGTGACAGATAATTGAAGTCCTTTCATTAATGCTCATTGCTCAGAGGTGAGAGGTGTAGGCTTTCTCCCTAAATCCATTTACTGTGTAGGTAGAGGGATGCAGAAGAAACAAGTCTGTTGTGCTTTGTCCATGGGTACATTTCCAACCCTTTCTAGTGGTTTCCATGGGATTGGAGGGTGAGAGAGATTCTAAACTTGCTTTATAATTTAACATCCATACATATTTGCTAGCTGTCATTAAATCTGGCTTTACACCTTTTGATGGGCTAAATAGCCTCATGAGAAACACAGTATGTTTCTCATGTTGTGTTTGTTTTTGGTATTCAAACTAAGAGGTACTAAGAAAATTACTTATGATTGCTAATGATATAGAAAGTTCTATCTATTGTGTATGCCAGCCACTAAATGGTGTAAGTTAGTTCTTGAAAGTGTGTTAGCATGTCTCAAACATTCACAGCCTGGAGAGACCCTATACTATCTTTTTCTTGAAATTATTTTAAAAGTGTTTAGATTTTATTTAAAATTCCAGTTAGAGTTTTTTCTATTATTTTTCCCCAGGATTTAGTGATTCAAAAGGAAAATTGTTTTATATTGTTATTATTACTTCAAGTTTGATTTCAAGGACACACTAAAAAAAAAAATTACTTGAATGTTTTCTATTTACCTCATTTCTTTTCCCTGGTGTGAGTGAAGGGAGTACAGAAATTTCCTTAGAGCCACAGCAGTCTGACAGAAGGCACAGATGTTGTTCCTGTGTACAGATTAGCAAGGACAAGTGAGGTTGTGAGGATGTAGCAGCACGTCTACAACCTCTGCATTGCTCTTACTCTGGAATAAACAATCATGTAAAGAATTAGCGGAGAATAACTGAGATGCAAAGTAACCCCTCACGTTAGCCTACACTGAAGGTTTTGTGTCTGCAGTCAAAATGTGAGAGCAGTCACAAGCAGTTCATTGTAGGACAGTCAGTGTCATTACAAATGAAGCAAAAATGTTTCCATTTGGTTTTGTGTCAAAGCCTTTGTTTCATTTGAAGTGTTCCATGAAGGTGGCTTTGGCTGTGGGGCCTTCCCACAGGTAAGCTTATTTTGCCTCAGAGTGGAATGACTCCACCAGTGATCCCAGCAAGGGCAGGTACACAGACTGCAGAAATGAAGCAACAGAATTATTTTGGTTTCTGAAAAGACTGAGAAATATAAATTTCCCAGTGTGTATTGTAATGCTCACTTTGACATGGTGAGCATTATTAAGTGTGTTTACCTCCTGACCCATTCATGACAAAAACCTAGCTCAGGTTTTCTCACATGCATTTGTATTGCTTTCTGTAGCATCTTTTTTCACCTTTTCTGCTCTTATTTGCAGATGAAGTGTCTGGTGGCTCCTGTGTTTTGCTGATCCTGCTGTGCATAGCAACTGTTTTCCTTAGCATTGGAGGAACTGCACTGTACTGCACCTTTGGTGACATGGAATCCCCTGTGTGTACTGAATTTGCAGCCAACATGGATTTCTATTATACACAGATACTGCAACGTGTGGAAGAACTTAGACACTGGATAGCCTTCTCATAGCTGAAAGGAATGGACACAGCATGCTGAGAGCTCACCAGTGGTTACTGGAGAGAGTAGAGCAAAATTGTGACTTCAAGTTCTCTGACACTTGCCACCTGCAGGTGATGTGTATTTGATGATATACTTTCACATGTACTTAGAAATCAAGAAAATTTTAGTTTAGCAATCAGGTGGCAAAAAAAAAATGTTCACATCTGTTCACAACTGTAGCAGCGTGGTATGGGAGCATAAAAAGTTATTATCTTCATCCTTTTGAAAGTAGGCAAGTAGCTTTTCATCCACTTGAGCAAGTGAAGAAGAAAGAAGAAAATTAACTGTCTTCTGTATTCTCTCCCATTGCCACACATTGTGTAAGCAATCTCTGGAAGCTTAGTAAAAGGACAGCTTTAATTTACAGCTGTTTGTGCAAAGGTGTTGCCTCCAGCTATCATGCAATAAGTCTCTGTTTTATGGAAACATTATTTTTTTTTCTAAGTCTTAATGGTTTTATCCATTTTATTTCTCCTGGTGAGCCATGTAATTATTTGGGTGGAGTCAGAAGAGTGCATTCACAGAGCCCTCATTTGGTAATTACCAGGCTGACCCTGTATCCTATATTCAGCTTGCAGTGAATTTCATGAATGGGATAAATCTGCTGGCAGATTTCACTAAATTTCTTGGACCTTTACTCTCAGTATCATGCGGGTTGTTTTAGAATTGGAAGGTTAAAAGAGAAATCACTGGTCTCACTAAACACAGAAACTAAAGATGTTTACTAAATTATTCATATTAAATAATCAAGTGGCTTTGGCTCATTTTAAAGCACCTGGTAGCAGGTGTGGGGCTAACTGGGTTTTCCTCCAGCTATGTCACTGACTTGGAGTAATCACTTTGTGCCTCACTTTCTCCTCCATAAATGGGGAATAATGATCCTTGCCTTTGTCTATGAATATTGGAATTAGGGCTCATGTCTGATTCATCCTACATCAGTGCACAGGATCACAGAAGTGTGTGGCTGCAGCCTCTGCCAGTGAGTAAAGGTTATGTAAAGGGGGCCTGATCCAACAGAAGAGGCTCAGAGGTTCACTGCAGATCCACAGGCTGTTGGTATTCCAGGGCACTTGTTCCAGCCGATAAAGCACATTTGCATTCATTTGCCCTGCAGTTCTGTGACCTGTATTGTAAAATCTGTTCTTTCTCTATCAGCTTTACAAACAAATTTGGATCAGTACAAAGAGTCATTTTAAATGGGTATTTCTATCACTTGGTGCTCAGCCCTCCCTGTGTGGTGGTGAGAGAAACACTGGCAGGACAGTGAAGGTGAGAATCAGATACACAGGCCTTGGGCCACGCTCTGTGCAGGTGAGGCAGCTGTTCTTGCACAGGGCACAGTGGTGCAGCTCTGCTCTGTCCAGGTGAGGCAGCTGTTCTTGCACAGGGCACAGTGGTGCAGCTCTGTTCCAGGTGAGGCAGCTGTTCTTGCACAGGGCACAGTGGCGCAGCTCTGTTCCAGGTGATGCAGCTGTTCTTGCACAGGGCACAGTGGTGCAGCTCTGTTCCAGGTGAGGCAGCTGTTCTTGCACAGGGCACAGTGGTGCAGCTCTGTTCCAGGTGAGGCAGCTGTTCTTGCACAGGGCACAGTGGCGCAGCTCTGTTCCACGTGAGGCAGCTGTTCTTGCACAGGGCACAGTGGTGCAGCTCTGTTCAGGTGAGGCAGCTGTTCTTGCACAGGGAACAGTGGTGCAGCTCTGTTCAGGTGAGGCAGCTGTTCTTGCACAGGGCACAGTGGGGCAGCTCTGTTCAGGGGAGGCAGCTGTTCTTGCACAGGGCACAGTGGTGCAGCCCTGCTCCAGGTGTGAGTGTGAAACAATTCCTTTACACCTCAGGAAACAGCATTTTTGAGGGGCCCACTTCACTCCACCCTGTGATTCCCTGCTTACTAACCTTGTATGATGCAGTGTGTTCAGGTTTAGGACATTATTTTGTAAAATGCTATGAAGTGAAATCTTTGAGATACTGCTCAGAATTCTAACATTAAAGATCATGCTTTCTGACATTTGCAAGCAAATTGTCCCTCTAGTGAGCTTGATTGTTCCTAACGCACTGTTACACTTAACGGGTTTTTAAAGTGAAAGTTAAAATCATGTTTTTTTCTAGAATAAACTGCATGTATGATTTCTCTTTTGGTTTTCACTGTGGAGGCTTAGTTTATTTATACCCTAGGGAGCCTCATGTGCAGCTTTATACTAAACTAGCAAATTTCAAATGCCCAAATTAATGAAAACTTTTGGTTTTAGAATGAAACTTGAGAATGGTTGTTTGGGGGATTGTTTGTTTGTTGTCTTCAGGAGTATCATGATGAGGTACTTTAAAGGAGAAAGGGAAAGACACTTCTGTGTTTTAAAGTGTTACTGGCTGGTTCAGTTTATTATTTGAATTCTGGGTTTGTTTGTTTATTTATTTAGTTTTTCTTTTAAAGAGAAGCTTAATTTTCTATTTTGGCAATTTACTCACAGAATAATTAAAAAGCATGCTTTCAGTTAAAGTATGTATTTATAGTGACTATGTAGTTAGAATATATTTTGGGTTTCTGTAACTTTGCATTGAGTGTTTCTGAAAATTAAGTTTATTCCTAAAGAGACAACTGTTCATTTCAGCTTAAAAAAATATTTTTAACTTTTTGTGCACTTCATCACCAAAAAGATCAAGAGGTATTTATAGATCTATTTATTAAAAAGTATATCAAACATGGTTATCAAAGATCCACAACTTTTAGGTTCATTTAATTAAAACTATTTAAAAACAAATATTTTATTTTAACTATAAAACTATTTAAAATCAAAGCAATTTTTAATAAGTATTTCAGTTTCGAATCGGTGATGCAAATCCTGGTGTTTTCTCTTTGTGCTGTATTCCTGGTGCAAAGACTCACAAGTAGCAGCAGAACTGCCTAGAAGAGCATGAGGAGGTTGGGCAGCCCATCACCAACAGGTACCCCTGAAAAGTGAGCAGCCAGACGTTCTGGGTAACCCAGACACCCTTCCCCTGTGACTGGGAGCATCTCTTCAGCCTTCCCCAGCTGTGCCAAGGCAGCAGCCCTGCAAAGTCTCCCAGGATTTGAGGCAGCAGAGCGGGCACATGTGCACAGGCTGTCCAGCTCCTGATCTGAGCTGCTCGCTCCTCAGTTGCAACCAAGGGTTCAAATCTGGATCCAGTTTCTGCTGGCATTCCTTTATGAAAAGCTGATGGTGCAATTCTTGCTTCGTGTGACAGTTCTGTCGGTGCAAATGGTCTGTAGTATTGCCAAACTTGCAGCTATCAACAGAACAAAATTTGCTGTGCATTGGAACTCCAAAGAGTGTGCAGGCAGGCCTGATGTTGGCCTACTTACGTGGTCTGTTCTCTTTGGAATAGTGGACATTGCTTCCAGCTGGGAGACCTGAGGGGTTAGGGTCTTGCAGACAGGTAAATCAAAGCAAAAAATAATAGTGGATTTGAGTGGTCATGACTCATCAGAGTGTTTGAGGTAAAATAATACCAAGCAACAGCTCAGATTGTTTCAGGAGGAAGAAAGCAGTGAAAAAAGGCTTCCCCTTCACACACATGCTAGGTGCATTTAAAAGCCTTTTGTATGTAACTTTTTATTCATTGTTTCCTTCCCTGATGCTGTCTTTATGGCTGTTCTCCTTGGCAATAGGGGGACCATACTGTACTTAGTTAAAAACATTTGTAATTGATAGAAAAATTCAGGAAATGGTTCCATACTTGACAGTAGTTTAAAAAACTTTTCATAAAATATGACTGGATTTCAGGCTGCTAGTGTACCTTCAGAGAAGTTGTGCCACTTAATCTAGCACTCTGCTAGAAACCCCCACCTTCCTGTTTATTCTTTGAGCATAATTATTTCAAAGAGATTCTTGTGATAAAGAAAAAACCAACAAGGCTTTTTATGTAGATTCAGCATTATGCTGACAAAAGATCTGACCACATAATTAACACTCTCACCCCAAACAGCCTAGACTAGACCAAAAAAGGCACTGTGCTGTAGTGTAGCACACTGTACTACAGGCTTCTTCTCAAGACAGCATAAGGAAGCAGACATTCCACAACCCAGGTATGCCAGCAGAAGTTTGTGATCTAGACACAGGCTGTGTTTTAAATTTTTTTTCCATTATCCTTGGTTTCATACCTGGAAAATGCATAGTAGCCCTGGTGACAAGGAGTAGGAGGTATTATAACAAAAAGGGAAACTCTCGTTTAGGGTTCTTGGTAGTAAAGGGTGACTTTGAACTGTCAAGTATACAGAGTACATTGGAAGTCCAGATTCTTGTGTGACTGGGTACTGTTCCACTCAATAACCTAAAGGGATGACCCTCCTAAGGAAACATGTTTGCCTACTTTGTACTGTAATGTTAAACCAAGAACATCTGAAGGGAATCAAAGTTATTTGTAACAAATTTATCTTAAGCTTCCTTTAGCAAAAGGAGTAAATAACTGTCTTTGAAAATCACCCAAGCTTGTAATTTACATACTGTAGCAAAAAAAAAATAAAATAAAATAAAAACTGTCCCAAAGAAAATACATTAACCTTTTTGGATACTGTGATTTCTAAATGTCTGAAAAGACTGAGATTTTCTGTGAAATTCAAGTAAATGAATAATCCCTCCAATAAGAATTTCATTATTAAGCCCAAACCAGAATGGAAAGTGAGGATAAAATGTGTAAGTTTGGTCTGGTTTTTGGTGCAGATTTCCTGGGTGATTTGTCTTTATTTCAATAGTTAAGCAAAAAACCAGTTTCCTCACAGAGCCTGGTGCTGCCAGACAGGTGGGTTTCAGGTGCTAAAATGTTGCCTTACTGTATCATTGTGAAAGCAAATTGACAGATGGTGAGTTTCAGAATTCCTAGTAATTGGTGGGTGACCTGGATAGTGGTCACCAGGCATTCTGCTCTCTGAGCTCAATTAAATAAATGAAAACACAAACAGTTGCGAGTCAATCCAACCTAGTAGCCTTTGGTCCGAACAGGAATGTATCAATGATACATTTTGCAACGCTTTCCTGCCTGTTTTTATTCCTTCTGTCTCCGTTCCACTTTACCACTTCTTTCCCAGTATGAGAAAGCACATTTTCTATCATTCACAGGACCATAAGGGAATTGAGTTAGGAAGGGACCTCAGAAAGTCTCTAGTCTAGCCTTCTGCTCAAGGCAAGGTCAGCTGGGATCAGACCTCATTGCTCAGGGCTTTATCCAGTTGGGTCTTGAAACCCTCCAAGGATGAAGACTGCAGAACCTCCTTGGGCATACTCCTCTGCCTGGCTGTGCTCAGGGTGAAAAGGTTTTTCTTTATACCCTGTATCATCTCTTTCCATTTGCTGTCTCTCATGCTCCCCATACTGCTGCAAGGGCGTTTCTTAGTAACCTCCTCAGAGATATCATCTCTTCCCCAGGCTATACACTATTTTCTACCACTGTCCTTCTGATTCTTCTCCCTTTCTTGTCAACAGAATCTTCTTTCCTGACAGGAATCCAGAATTCTTCTATTAAAATAGAGATCCTCCATCCCTTTCCTCTTCCATGTTACACTCTGAAATTCAATAATAAGACTTAGCAATGAGGCCACAGGTAAAACTGAAATAACAATTGCAGCTACTCTTGCAGTACAAACTTGCTGACTCTCACTGGCTCACCAGTGTATAGCAGTGATGGCAGAACTTACACTGATTCTTGTACTACTCTTAAACAGCTGGTTTTTAAAGGACTGCTTGCTGATGGTCATGTCCATGTGTCTTAATGAAATATTTCAAATATTTTTCTCTAAAATAGCTACCCAAGGAAGCCTAAAATATTTAACTATACAGTCCTTTCTTAAAAATGAATTTTTTATAATTTGGCTCCTGTAGAATTTAAGGCTCCTTTATATAATTTGTGATTTGTATTACTTTGAATTAAAAGTCGTGGTAATTCATTTTGTCATAACATAAGCCTAGGGTTTACTGATTTCAGTAATGTCCAAATATTGTGGTCATCTCTTGAAGAAAATGATGGTGGGGAGTAGGTGCATGCTGTTTTACAGTGTCTCTGTGACAGCTGTTACTGAACTGATACCAGTGAATTTCAGCCAAAGTCGTACACTTGTGTTCACCCAGATTTGTTTAATATGCCAAACAGGCTAAAACAGAAAATATAGAGACAGCACTGAAGGACAGCCAAGATATGTCCAATACTAGACCAAAGTCTTCCATTAATCTAAAATTTTAAGCTGCTCTTCTTGAAAACAAGTTTGAATCCATCTTCACATGACATGAGATCCATCAGCTCTCTCCCTCTGCTTTTTGCCAAGGAGCTGTCTAGCAAAGTGTCATCTTTTAGCCAAGCTGGGCCCCTGATGTAGCACTCATTTGTTAGGCTGCTGGGAAGTTTCCAGTAACATTTCTGTCAAGTGCCAGTTAATGATCATGTCCCCTTTCATTGCCTGGCACTGAAAATGAGTTTAAGCCCCACTGTTGTGCTTTCATAGACTGATCAACTTTACCAAAAACAGCTTTCAGAGTGAGAGCTAAATGTTTTTCAGAAAGCACCACGTGCCAAGTACTACAATGAGAAAACTTGACTGGTTTTGCCACAACATGTCCAGACTGCACAGTTGCTATTTGCAATGCATGGAAGCAGTGCCCATGCTGTGTTTCCAGCAGGGCACCCCTTAAGCTAGCCAGGATTCATTCTGTTCTCTCAGCCCTGCACGAGAAGGGAGTGGTTGCATCAGGAGTGCTGAAAGCATACATGCACTAGAAGTTAAGCAATGTGAAAGAAAGAAGGTGAAAGAAGTTAAGCAATGTGAAATGTTCCTTCCATGTAAACCTTACACCTAAAACTAGACGTGGTTTTTCTTTTTTTTTTTTTTTTTTTTTTTTCAGACTTTCATATCGGAACCATTAGTTTCCTTTATTTTTATATTAGAGAAATACAGCATTAAGCCAATTCCTCTGTTTCTTCTCCAAAAATAGGAATTAATGCTTTTTGCCAGAGGGAACGTGCATCTTGCCACATGATGCTGAGAATCTTCGTGCTTGTACAGCTTTTCTGCCAGAATTTCTAATGAAATGGATGGATTGTTTCTGAGGCTATCAGAGTAGCAAGAACATTTTCACACTACTTTTCCTGAGCCAGCTGAATTCAGTGCACTATGGAAGGGACTTGCATAAAAAAAGGGAGTGGAACATTTGAATCACTAAGGATCCGTACAGTCAATTTCAGCACGACAAAATGTCAGTATCTACCATCACAGAAACCAGCAAGGTTGCTTCAAAAGACCCACCATAAATAATAGAAAAGAGTATGTTTGAAAAGAGTTCTAAAGCAAAAAAAATATATTCTGAGGTTTCTAGTGACTTTTCAAAGATTTGAAGATTTATGTAGAAATTGGTAAATAAGGGGGAACAGCTTCTCAGTGTTACACAAAGGTAATGACGAAGTACCTTATGGGTAAAAGGGCTGCAGAAATAATGCAGCAAAGACCTTAGATCAGCTATGGGAATTTTTTGCTGGAAAGAATAAAAAATATTTCTGATAAAGGTATCTATCAGTGATGGGTTTTTTTCATCAGATTTTACAGAAACAGAAAAAACACACAATAGTTTAGTGACATCAGGGAGGAAAAGGGACTAAGGATTAAAGTACTGTTAAATTCTTTGTAGACTCCTTAGGAGCAAGTGGTTTGTACAAGATCATGTAGCAGGAAGAAGAAGAGCAAGATCAGAGCTTATGAATCCTATTTTATGGTCTTTTGTCTGTTTCCAGTTCTCACTAGGACAACACAGATTAGCGAAGATAAATCAGTAGTCTTTTGTTCATAGTCTCTTTGACTTCACACAGCTTTGAAAATTTTCTTTAAAGATATTTTCATATTCTTATAAATTTTGTGGTAATCTTAAGGAATCAATTTTATTTAAGGGATGAATATCCTTTCTAGTATGCAGGACAAACTGCAAATGCCCTTTTAGCGTATTTTTAGTACTTGATATCATCATAGCCATGGTAGCTGGTTGCTATTTACATGTATTAAAACAAATGGTATCAACAGACCACAAACTTGTGGGAACACAAAGTATAATAGCAATTTCTATCATCAGAAAATGAGGCTCAGGCTGTCTGCAGTTACTTTGTGTTTCGCCATCTAACTCGTGCTCTGTTAAGTACTAGGAAAATAACAATTCTCAGCAGAAGGGGCCCTGCTGAGAATCCTAATCAAGGCACAATCTCACAGCTCTGCTGGGCTTCACACAATACCTATGGCTGTGCCAAGAGGGAGGAAACAAAGCGATGTGGAAAGAAGCCGCAGTCACCAGATTCTGCCTCCTGGCACAAATGAACTTCTTGTGAGGCACAGAAATGTTTTGACCATAGAGCGGACGTTGTCATCACTGTCTGCAAATGTGAAAGATGAAAATCATTTCAAATGTTCTTGGCATCCCTAAAAAATGACTTTAATAACCCTATTTTCATTTCAATTTTTGTGTTACTGAAAGCTTTCCCTTGGTTGAAAGCAAAGAAAATTATGCAATTTTTTTTTGAGGGTTTTTTTTGATGTGTACTGTCTCTGGTATTTTTCTATAAATAGGGAATTACTTTTCTGAGTCAATTCACTGGGTAATAGCCCATGATTTACCTACAAAGGCAAAGTAGATGGCCATTAGCAATAAGTGACTCATGTATTATAAAACAGCCCCATTAAAAGGAACCATCCCTATCAAGTCACGCAGTAGGATGATGAAACAATATTTTCAGTGAATAAGCTGAATTTTGCAATGCGTAGCAAGCCTTGCACAGCCCACCCACACTGCCAGCTCAGTCTGGCACTTTGTTGCAATTTGTGCTGGGATCTTTCATGGCTAAAATTTCTCACTACAGAGCAGCCAAGGAGGCGTGGATTCTTCTCTTTGCTCTGTTCACCACAGGGATGCCCAGGATGCCAAGGGTTGTCTTTAAAGACACCTGCAGCTTCAGCAATGAAACCCCAAAACTGGGAATCAAACGTTCTGCTCCCCAGAGATCAAGCAGTGTCTTTTAGGACTGAGCCTGAAATTGTTTTGCCTTCAGTCCAGCACAGAAGAGACTGCACAGCTGTCCTGTGGTACTGAATCTTGCTTAAATTAAATCATTAAATTTGCTTAAATTAAATTAATTAAATTCATTAAGTAGATATGTGTAGTATGAGGGATTGAAGACCTTGGGATCCCTGAAAAAAGCATCATGGAAACCCTAAAAAGACTTGTAGAAAGATCTGAGTGGAAGCGGTGTTGCTGAGACTGCCTCATGATTTCGCTATCACTCAGATATGAACGCGTTTCTTAAGGTAAAAAGGCTGCACTCTGTGGCACTTACATCACAGAGCACTTACCATCACAGTCATGAATTTAAATATGGTTTAACAGGTCACACTAGATCTCAGGGTAAATTTAATTTTATTTTCTGGCTATTGTTCTGAACTGCACTGTTAAATAGAAAACTACTTTCTTTCCAGGTTTTGGGGAAGTTTTTTGTTGGTGGTCGTGGTGGGTTTTTTTCCTAGTCCTTATATTTTTTTTTACATTTTATTTTCCTCAAATCTACATCCCTGCCTCTGGACAAAATCCTCATTAACTAATTGGCTCAATAATTTTTATTTTTTTTATGGCCAGAGAAGGAAATGGCTGTGGCTGAAAAAGGCTGTGCTGTGACATGGTTTGGAGTAGTTGGCAGGAAGAGCTGATGAAGTGCTAAGAACACAAACCTGGAACTTGGGAGGGTTTACTTTAATTGTCTGCTCTTCCACAAATTTTCTGTGTGTTCTTAAGCACATCACTTAATTCTCCTGTGTTTCAGTACCCTGCATCTGTAACAGGGACAATTCTCTGAAGCTCCCTGTGGCAGTGCTCATTCTAATGATCCTGGGAGTGAGTGAAGTCATGCTAATTTCAGAAGTAACACATTTTAAGCAACATCAGCAACTTGCTAGTCACGCTTTGACTGAGATGGTTACCCTGCATTGTCACAAGTAATTGCAATGAACCCTGCATCTGAGAAAAGAAGGGAAGAAAACCCTTCTTGTTATTCACTTTCTTTTTTTGAGTTTTCTCTGAATATGAAAGCTGTTTCAGAGAGGCTACAGGAAAGAAGTATGGAGCAATAGGGAGATACACTTTAATATTTCTGTGAGCTGTTGTGCTGTGCCATCAGGTGAATAAATTGCATTCAGTTTTGGGGGTTTTTTGTCAGTTGTTTTAGCATCATAATGACTATACTGTGACATTTTACAGCTATTTTAAGATACCTGTAGAAAATAAAAACCTGTAGAAATAAAAACTGCTTTTGCCTCCCTGCATTTCCCTGTGGGAGTGAAGGGTAAAGCCAGTTTCCTGATGGATTTCAGTCTCTGGTATCTGCAGTACACAGACTTGTTGGTCCTTCCCACTTTATAGCACCTGCAGAGGAGCAGAGTTTTTAAAGGGCTTCATGTTGCTGGTGGTCTCCGCAAAGGGTGGGGAAAGGAGAGGGGGAGTTGGCAGAAACAAACTGTGGAAAATACAACCAGGTTATTTTTTATGTGTCAATGCTAAAAGCTTTGAAAGAGAATGTGGAATTCTGTCCCTCATCCTTTTCACATTTATACCAATTAAGCCTTTTGCTACCTGTGACTCACTGTGGTGACAGGATTAGTTGGGATTTAGTGATTTAGATATATTTAGTGATTTAGATTCTCAAGTTCACTGCGAAATTGCCCATCATAAGCTATTCACTGGAAATCTTGAAAATTATGTGGGAGGCTGATATAAAGGAAGAAATGAGCCAAATTAATTTACACCTTCCAGTTCAAACACAACCTAGAAATTCTCTAGTGCAGCTGCCTCCAGAAGCAACCTTCTGTCACAGGTATTTGCTGTGGAAACTGCCCTTGACTGCAGAGAAATTCAGGCATCTTGTTGGATCTGCAGTTTTTTTCCCCTTTTTGTAAGTCACTTTCTTGTAGTAGCTGCCTCCAGAAGCAACCTTCTGTCACAGGTATTTGCTGTGGAAACTGCCCTTGACTGCAGAGAAATTCAGGCATCTTGTTGGATCTGCAGTTTTTTACTTACTTTTTGTAAGTCACTTTCTTGTAGGTTTTTGTGCAGAAGGTAGAGGTTTTTGTCCATTCTCTTCCAAATATGTACCCAGGTGCTGGCAGAGAAGAGTGATGGTATCATAATCTCTTACTGAAAGAGAAAAAGATTATGGTCACAGCAGGTAGCACCCACTCTTTGGTGCTATTTCTACATTTCTGTGGACCCATTTTTCAGACCCATGCATATCCTATTTTCTCAGTTGATGTTGGGAGTTCAAAATACAGAGAAGCCACCATTTAATAATGTCTATCCCAATGTTAAACAGGAAAACCAGAAGTGGATGTTAGATAAATGATCCTAACACCCCTATTCATTGTTAGATCACTGTGAGCTGAAGTGCTCATCTCAGCACATCTCACTGAGGTGCTGCTTTTCAGCACCTCATGATTTCCAGGGCATGTTTGAGTAAATGGTAAAAAACCTTTAGGAGGGGGAGGGAAAGGGCAGGTCATGTAATTATATGAAAATAGGTCGTATGAATGGGATTTTCCTTGTGATGAAATAGTCATTGCTGCCAATCTATTCAAACTGGAGAGAGACAGAGGAACAAGGGATATAACTGTATTGTCCTTTCTTCTGTCTATTTCTTGTTTCTCATTGTTTCTTGACCTCAAATATCTCATTCTCAACAACAAAATTCAGACTCCTGCTGCTGCTTCTGCTACTGTGAGAAGCGCTGCTTTCTTAAAGTAAATTACTGATAGACTATGCTGGACATGTCACCAGCAATGCATATTATCATAGGATATTTGCTTCCTTCTGAGTTCTCCTCCTTTGGAAGAACAATTTCATTTAGGTGTACTGCAAATTTCAAGTGTAACTACCTTTGAATTTCAAATTCACTTCAAACCAGCACATGAGCCATGCGTGGTCTCTGTACTTGGCTGAGCTTGCACTAGTTTAATGGGCATTGTCGAGCAGCCTTCTCTCAAATTCTGCAAAATTGTTGGCAGAGATCAAGTCGTCTGTCTTTTTAAGGCCTCACTATTTAAATATTTAAATACTTCAATATTGACAAGAAAACTTTCAAACACTGTAGTTAAATGAGTGCTAATCCATCACTTCAAGTGAATAGTTCCATAAGCAGAAGCTGATGTGGAGGAGGCATGTTAACTAAGACCTGAAACCACTCATTGTGTAAGGAAGGCAAAAAGAATACTGAACAGCTTCCCAGTGACTACATGAACAGGAATACTTGAAACAACAGGATATGCTAATGTAATTAAAGACAGCAACATAACACATAGGTACCAAGAGCCCAAATCACAAAGTTCAAGCCGTCTTATTTCTGGGATTGGAGGCATTGGCTTTGCAATCTTAATAGACAGTGCTCTTTAGAGAAGTGACAACAGAGCTGTATTGCTTTAAAATATTCAGCTCAATCAAAATCAGAGCACTTCTGAGTGTTAGGCTATTTTCTTTCAAAACAAAATCACCGGGAAACAGAAAAAGCCCTCTGGTAGTCCTGCAGCATCATCTCCAGCTAGAGCAAAGCCAGAATTTTATATGCTCACAACCATTCTTACACGAATATTCTGGTGTACATTTGTCACTGACCTTTCTTGGAGAAAAGTAATTTATTGCTATTATAATTAGCATTTAAAGCTCATTATGTGTCCCACTGCTTGGCAGTGCACAGGTCCTGCTTCACTGCTGGTGTAGGCCTGCATCTCCCCAGAGAAGAGCCACAGGGAGCACAGCCAGACCTTGCTGTGCCTGTTCCATGTCCCCATATGCCCCACAGGGAAGAGCAGTGTAGAGCAGCCCAGCTGCCCAGGATCCAGCAGCACATCCGCCCCATTACCTTGCTGCACCGTGGCTGGGGTGCCACAGTGCTCAATTTCCCTCTCACCACTGCAGTGAGCCCCACAGAGGAATTTGATTTCAAAAACATTTGGCACGTACCTAAAACTAGTAAAATGCTTTGAGACACTCTGGACTATTTTTGTTTTAATGCTAAAGAAGAGGAAAAATATCTCATGGTTATGATTTGACACTGTGATTTAATTTCAAGCTGTCAGTCTCATATTTTTTCGATAAAATACATACTGAAAGAGCCCCACAACCAGCTGCTATCACTTTGCTATTGTTTCTATATGTCACTATCCTGGTATAAATTTTATTTCTTTGGTTCTTGTAACACTGCACTTCATAAGGGAAAAAGTAGCATGACACTGCCTAATTCCCTTTCATGACAGTGACATCTTGAAATTACTGGTTTTTTTTTTCCTTCCTGGTTAACAACAGAGGCTGGAAATCTATTTTAATGGCAGGTTTTTATTTTCCTGCAATTCATCTTTTTCATGCTGGTGGGTAATTTAATTTGTTGTTGACCTAGTTTCCATTACAAAAAATTAGACTATTCATTATCACAAAAGCTTCATCCTTTGAGACTTTTAAAAAACATATGCTATCAATTATTTTATGTTACAATATTTTTCTTGCTGAGTGCCCTGTTTCATATGAAAACAGTTTCTTTGTAGCAGCCTTGATCATGATTCCTTTTTAACAGTGAGGTGTAATTACTGCCAGGAAGGGTGACACTGAAATGTAGTCGTGGACTAGTATTTGACAGCATGGCACATGATGTGGCTGTCATGGACACCACAGCCTCATTGCAGGGATATCTCCCTCCAGCCATATCGAGTCAGAAGCAGCCACAGTAATTAGAGGTTTGAAACCCACGTTGTGTAATTGGTTCTGCTATACTGTGCAGAAGTGACCCTGTTAAGAAGAGGAAGAAGACAGGAAAGCAGGTTAAAAAGCAGGTTATCTGAGTGACGTTTGCCATCCCCTCCAGGTGATTGATTCTTGCTTGCTTGCTCTCACTTTGGTAGCCCTGGGAGGAGCAATCAGTTCGCTCAAAGCTTTTTGGCAATTTGCCCCACTTCTAACAGGTTTTGGGGAGGAGCTGGAACCAATTGACCTTGGACAAGAGGTTGCAGCTGTGAGTGTAATGGCTATGACTTTTTTTGGTTCCACCTAGAATGGGAATTTGTCCCAGTTCCACCAATGAATGACTCATTTCCTGGACATGTAAGTCAACATAAATCTCTGGTGTCCGTAAGGACAATGCAGTTGTTAGTAATTATAACTTCCAGTGGACTTAAGGTAAGTTCAGCTTTTGTTTTTTTTACTATGCTTTAGATTTGGATGCAGATCCAAGGTATTGCTGCTTGGCCAGGAGTTTGGTGGAATCTTGGACAAATTTCCGAAGTGCCTCCAGCAGGTTTTTAAGGCGGCAGGATCCGCTGAGCAACATTCCTGGAGCAGCTCCATGATTAAAGCTGAAGTCTGTAGTAAAATGTTCACTATTAATGTTTCTGCTGTTCTCCCTTCTAAGTATGGATGTAGAAACAGTCCATGGAGACTTTTGTGCCCTCCATACCAACCGAAGTCCTTTGCCCTTCTGTTCCCAGCTGCCACAGGGAATTATGTGGCTGAGGGAGAGATGCAGCTGCATGTAATAGTGATGCTAGCTCAGCCTGGGAGAAAGCAAAAAGGCCCTGGGGAATGGGAGGGAATAAAATGGAAAACATTAAAGCCACAGTTTTTAGATTTGGATGAGACAGAAACTCCTCATGGGCCTTATTTGTAAGGTTTGTTTAGGGGTATCCTCTTTGCGGTCTAGAATCCTTACCTGATGCTAGGTGATTACACAATATGTTAGCTGAGATTTCAGACATTTTATGCAATCAGTTGTTTCTAGGAGACTGATCATCAGAGGCAAAGGCTTCCTCTGTGTGTTGTGTTTTCAGCCCTTTTTGTGTTGTATCCCTGGTCCAACAGTGGTTTTGTAGTCTCAGCTAATTAGTGTGTATTCTTACTAGAATCTGAATTTTTTCACTTAAAACTTTTGTCCCTTGTGGCTATATTTTATTTTAACAAATATATTAAGAAGATTGAAGCCTTAGAAACTATAATTTAAATATAAAAATCTTTAATTTCACTAGACTGTATTCAAATATTTCAGGGTCAATATTTATTGTCCATCACAGTGTACACAGATACAACTTGTTTACATCCACAGACCAGTGTTACATGAATCTCTTATCCAGCAAACCAGACAGTGCAAAAATTAAGAGGTTATTAAGATGTTTTGCAAAATACTCTAACCCCAAAGTCCTTGAAAGATCCTCCACCTGGAGGATGTGAGGAAGAGAGATGCCATGCACAAAGAAGGACTTCTTAGTTGTTTACACACAAG